GTCGTGCCTCACGCTCACCTTATCGCACACCGGCTATACCTACATTCTTTCCTATGATACGCTACTTGCTACCTACCGCGCGACTGCGCATTCTCGCCTTTCTCTTACCCCTGCGCCACTTCCGTATATCGTTCGCCATCGATTCATCGTTTCCATTTACGGTACATGCTCGCGTTCCGCGCCTTTCCATCTCCCGCCTCGTGTTCCCGCTCGTCGCTCGCGCGGCGCTCACATATACCGGCCGCCTCTCGTTTCGACCCCCTCAGTCTTGCACTCGTACCACGAGCGCGCCGTACTGAGGGTGAGTCTTACTTACGCCCCGTTCCCGTTCGGACTCTTTACTCATGTACTCGGCTCGCAGTCTTTGTCTGTTCGCCCACAGGTACATAATATATCAGTCTTGCACTCGTACCACGAGCGCGCCGTACTGAGGTCTTTGTCTGTTCGCCCACAGATCCCGCTGCACGCTCCGCCATGAGTGCAAGCACCAGGGCTCCGCAAACACTGGCACGCCTCATAAGATTCGAAACTCCCCTGTCCTTGTGCGTACTGGCAGTGTTGTGCTCGAGGTTATGCACAAATAAATATATTAATCACGGAACTCCTACTGATAGCTTAGTAAGTTGTAGACGTCTTGAGCAGGTCGTACGATCGGCGGTATGAGTAGAATTCCAGAACATGTGGCGCCTAGATGGAAAGGAGGTTTGTTGGACAAGTCAACGTCGGAGGACGTGAAGAGACCGAGCAAGACACCTTCTCCGCGGAAGACGCGTAGACAGGCGCCTTCGGACCGATGACGTGCCGGCAATTAAAGCAGGAACGTTAATTGACACAGCCACCTCTCACTTGTCATTCGACGCCATCAGTCTCCCTCCTCTCCTTCCGCCCACTCATTCGCGTGGATGCGCTCTCCTTCCTGCAACAGGCGGATTCACAAGACACTATCCGTCGGCCGGATGACGCGCGCCATGCATAGCGAGAACAGGGATCCTCGCGTGGAGAAGGTGGGCGAGAAGACTCGGAGACTGCTCGATTAGGGCGCGGTGCATGCAGAAGGCGAGCGCGCGGAACTCAGGGCCTGTCACTGGAAGCGACGCCCTCGCAATTTGCGCCCGGTCGGGCTAGGACGATGCCTTTCCCCCTCTGCCCGTCGCCCTCAGTCCATCCCCCGTCCCGCCACTTTCCCCGCCACGTCCCCCCATGTCTGAGTCGCCTCCCGCCCCCGCCCCTTGCCTCCTCCCTCTTCGTCCCGCCCTCCCTCCTCGACGCCCGCGCGCAACGTTCCATCTGCGCCCATCAATCTGCGTCCGACATCGCCCTCGCGAGGCATGTCCAACCTGAGCCCCACATATGGCGCTCTCTTCGTCGGCGTGCTCTTGTCCGCTGTGTAAGCTCGAGTCGAGTCTCGGATCTATAACTGCTGACCTCTACGCAGACTGTTCGGAGTGACAATGCTCCAGATGTTCGTCTACTTCCAGCAGTATCCTACGGACAGGCCTTGGAGGAAGCTTGCCGTGGGCTGGCTCTGGTGCGCGAGCCTCCAATCACCAGGTCGTCTCACCCACTTACGTCCTGTCCTTGTTTCCGTAGGCTCCTTGATGCGATACATCTGGCGCTGAGCGCGCACTTCGTCTACTTTTACCTTGTCACTAACTTCGACAAGCCCGACGCTCTTTCACATATTGTCTGGAGTTTCAAGGTACGCTTGTTCATCTCCTTTGCGAGTGCAATTGCTGAAACCCACATAGCTTCGCATAGTCATTGATGTATGTTTTCCGCAGTACGTTTCCGGAGTGCTTGTCCTGACTATGCGTAGTCTCTTGTTGTCTGTTCAGTGCACACGTGAGTAGGTACGCGAGTAAGGTAGTTTGTTGCTAACGACTACCATAGACTGTATACCTCTCGGTTGTGGACGCGTAGGTCGAAGTCCGTGGCGTGTGCACTCCAATAGCTGACCTGTCAACTGACAGTCCTCGCTATCGACGAACGGATGGAACCCTTCGGTAAAGAAGCGCGTAGATGGAGTCGACAGAAGTTGACGACACGAGCAAGCGCCTCGCGATGGGTGATGCGAAGATTGGTACCTTGGCTTGTTGTGAGTCGCAAAGTTGCGTTCGAAGCACAAGATCTGAGCTAGCCATAGAGCGGGTTGGTCGGTCTTGGCTATGGTATGCGCCTCGCGAATCCGACCCAGATGCTTGACACGCTAACCCCCACGCCCGATCTACGTAGGCATCGCTATAGGTACGTCCCTTGCGGTATGCCTGCACGTGTAAACCCCATGCTTACTCGTTTCAGTGATGTGTGTTGAGACGTGAGATAGCTCGCCGCGTCGATGCACGTGCAGATCGCTGAAAATAATCCGACGCAGATTCAAGCTCGAGGCCTTCAGTGAACTAGCTCATACCCCTGTACGTTCATGTATCAACCGCAGTGAACCCCAACTGATAGGCTTGTGTTTTTTCCAGTGGGCGACATATGTACCCCTCGGTGCCTCCACCGTAATCGACGGGGTCATAGCCGGATCACTATGCTACTTCCTTGCTCGGTGTCGGCCACGATCAGAAGCGTACGTCCCAGTGTCCCTGCATTTTTAGAGTTGAGCTGACGAGTACTGTGCAGGATGAATGGTCCGTTCAAGACACTAATGGTATACACGCTGAATACTGGTACCATTACTGGGTGCGTCTTCCCTTACGCTCCACTGTTGCCACTGGTCCTGACAGCGGCGTTTAGCCTCTTTTCGCTCCTCGCAATCGCAATGGTATGTTCCTGCCCTGGTACAGGAATTCACACGCTGATGCCCTTCTCGGCAGATGGTCGCATATCCGACAACGTTCATCCCGATTGCGATAGAATTTGTTGTCGTCAAGCGTATGTTTACTCACTCGTACCGGTCAAGTTTTGCGCTCACATTCGGCTGTTTACAGTATACATCAATTCTTACATGGCCATGTACGCCGTCCGTGTGTTGTCGCTCGCGCTAGCTGACCTCGTTGATGTAGGCTCAACGCACGCGGCGTGATCCACCCCTCCCAGGTATACCACACCAGAGCTTCGTTCCTCCCCTCCAACTCCCGCATTTTCCGGTACCCATTGGAGCAGAAAGGGCTGCCATTCGCCTCATTCTCTGCCTCGGTCGCTTCCTTGCATCTTGCTCAGCGTCCGCCGAATCCCAGCCCTACACCTGGCGCGCACCATGCTCCGACCTCCGACGCGCGCGCCTCCGCGGAGTGGACCCGTCCGAGCCCGGTGCCGACTCTACGTGCACCGCGGCTCAGCCACCCTGACGTTTCGCCCCAGTACGGCGGGATCGAAACAGTAGTCGGTGTGGCGTTCCCCGCGGCGGCCCTCGGACAGCAGCAGCGCTTCAACTCCTTCACCTCCGCGTCGTCCTCCGCCACCGTGGCGGTGCCTCCCAGTCCTAACCCGCTCGCTGCGGTGTACGCAACACCCGTGGACCCACTCTCAACCGCGCACCCCCTTCCGCCGACATTACACATCGAAATGGCGGAGATAACGGAGACAACAGTGGATCCGCCGGAGTACCCTTCGCCGCCCGACCGTGCCCTGTCTCCTCTTCGCTTCGCGTCCTACTCGTCCTCGATCCCGAGCCCATCGGGTTCGCTGTCCTCTCCATCGAGTCCTACGCATACTCGTCATTCGCGCCCGCGGATTCCGAGCGCGTACTCCATGGACGCGCGGGACGGCGAGGAGAGGCGAACGTCCCTCCCATCGGATTCCCCAGGATCCGAGCGGCGGTATACGCGCATGGTGAACGCGGCCAGGGAGAGCCGCCGGACGCTTGGTAGCTTCCCAGAGTCGTCAACGCGTGCCTCCGCGGAGCGGAAGGACAGAGCCGGTGGGATAAGTGTGCGGGGGCGGACGGGAGACGGGAAGCCGGGGAGCGGGCGGGGGCGGGTCGTCAGAGTACCGCAAAGAATTATGGAGAGGAGAACTGTGTGCAACATCGTCTCCCTGGGGTGTGCGGGAGAGGTCGCCGCGGGCCGGCGTGTGCTCCTCGTTTGGCGGCAGACTCGGCCTCCGAGCTCCAGCGGGGGAAGCTCGGCGGATGCAATCTGCGCCACGACGGGCATCATCGTGTTGTGTATCCTAGCAGCAATCAGGGGCATGAGCGCGTCGCCCAAGCGTGGTCCATCTCCGCCTTCAGAACTCACCGCGATTCGCTCAGGGAGGGAACCGCGCTGACGGGCGCTTATTCGTCTGACTTCGTGCCGCACGAGTGCGTTCGCGCGCGCTTCGTCCTTGCTTTACGCCGTCACTGTCAGTATCCGACATTCACAGTCGGCTCTGCTGCGGTACTAGCTCTATGTAGCAGGCTATCGACGTCTTCTGGGTCTTGCGCACATGGACACTCTGCCGTGACTGGCATTACATTTTTACTACCCGTACGTGGCAGGGACCCATCTCGACAAACAACTACCTACGCTCATCGCAGCGGCTCGCACGCGGCACCGGTCTGATGCGATTCATTCTGCCTTCTCGTTGCCAAAACGACTTAGGGATACCATATTCGGCTGTTTACGCTGCTCAGGACCCCATCAAAAAACGCCGCCCCGAGGTTCTGTGTGTCTGCTCGACTCGGAGCACAACGAAGTACTTACAGCATCTGGCGGTCCGCATAGATTTTTGCACAACGTCTGGCGCTGGCCGCCGCCGTACCGCAGCTGTATACGGTGGCAGCGGGGACTTGGAGGTCTCCACACCGGAATTCAACGTAAGTACCACTATGCTGTATACATCCGCCGGGCCCACGACCTTCGAGTGCAAGCAGATGTGCCGCTCGACATACTGCTGAAAATCGCTCAGCTGCAGGCACAGGAGGATGGTTCTGCATTGCGCACACTGTGTAGGCAGACGTGAGAGCGCCAGTGCCGCCGTCAGACAAATACGAGCGCTACGTGATTCACGTCTCGAGATGGCAAACGCAACGCGCCGGCGGACCTGGGTCGCAGCATGTTGCACTCGACCGCCGCGCGGGTGTTGGTTCGCATCGATGGGAACAGACGTTGGACATGCATGTGTCGCGAGCACAGCACGTCAGCTCAGGCCCAGGAGTATAGCCAGCATCACGAACTTGTCAGATGTGGGCTTCGCAGCGGTGGGTGGTCGGCGATGTTCCGGTACCACAGTCTGTCAGAGCAGGCCACCCTTGCACAGGTGACGATGACCTGGCGGCTATGCTTCGAAGCTAGCCGTGTGGACATCGCTCGCAATACAAGCAGACATGTGCGTACCGTACTCTGTTCGCGCGAACGAAATCTTACTGAACCTCGCTAGCAAGTCATCACCGTGTCACTGGATTGCGAAAGTTTGGGGGCACGTACCTGACCTCGCTCCAGCGTCATCCTCCATCCGGCCTTCTCCGCCACGGCATATACAACGGTGGCGACAGGCTGCGACCTGTGCGGTGAAAGGTACGAGAGCTGGCACTACCTAGTCAAATAGGGAGTGACGCACAATTACAGGTTTCCTATACTCGGTGCAGGCTCGCAGGCTCGCAGGTCGGAGGGTACTGCTGTCTGACGTGACCTTGGTGAGCTATGCAACACTTGCACAAGTTGCTCGTACGTACCATTCATTATTCAGTGCAGTAATGAAAGCTGATCCGATTGTGAATCACCACTTGGATCAAGCATGCCAGGCTGCATGTCTGTGCGGCGTCTGCAAGCCCCAGTATCGAAGCGCCTACATGGCCAGCAAGTGGGGAAAGACATATTGGGTGCGGCGGTGGATTGTCTGCCGATATCACAGAGCAAAGAGTGGTCTGTCGAATCGAAAACGGCGAGCAGCAGGATACAAAGCGACGAGGGTGGGACAAGACGAGATCATGGTGAGGGCGAGGCCACATCGACCAGGCTCCAGGCTGATTCCATTGCGGGTATGTTATTCTGCCTGTAAGTTCCGTATTACCGCAAGGTCCCACTGTCTTGTCTCGTGTGTCCATCTCCGTACCGACGACCTCTGTGCCGTGATGCTGCTTACCTCTGCCTGCCCCTGTAGCCTGGACCGCTGCTGCCGATCAGCTTACCTGGAAACCCGCAGCATGTATCTAAGCTCAGGGCAGTGGCCAATGGCATTACAGGCAACTCGGATGGCCCTTGATGCGTGTGTGTGACCGCGCAGCAAGTAGGTGGTTGCCTGTGTCGCTTGGTGAGTGCCCGCTATTTCCGTGATCATCCTTGCATCTGGTAATCCAGAACTACCTGTTTATTCGCTGCCGTATCGTACATTCTCTGGACATGTAATGGGGCGGAGTTATGTGCAGCGTGCTTTCTCTCAGCAGTGAGCCAGACCGGGTCCTTGAAATACTGATAGCTTCATGTCACTCCTCATAAATGTGCCGTGCCTGTCGGACCAGCTCATAAATTGTCATGGGGACGTGGTGCATCCCTCTACACTGGGGACGTGATAGTCCGGCGTCCTGGATATGTAAGTACATCTAGATCTCAGGCTAGTGCCATAGACGGTGAGAGAGGTGAAAAATATGAGGAGCAGTCCAGACACTGCCTCTCACATAGCTACCTTTGTCACTGTCCACAGCAATGCGGTTTAGCTAGTACCTTCAACACCGTCTTTGAATATACTTGTAACTGCGCATTGCCTACTTTACGAACAGGATTTGGGGCGGTGGAGACCTGAGGCGGCAGCGGCGGCCGAACCTCTCCGTGTGAATCAGACAACATGGCAAGGTCAAGCGAAGGCGGGATGTACCGTGAAATTAATTTTTGCGCATAGTAACGAAGACCGTAAGGGACAAGGAAAGGATTAAGATTGTCGCACCAATAGACTTTGGTGGTGGGGGGGTGTGAACATCGTATGCAGGAATCAAGCGCCCATTCAGTTTCATGCCCGACGGAGTTTCCGGCTTGGCAGTCCGCGCGCTCATTGTCTCCTCGGTACCACCACCTTCATCGACCGCCTGACACCGTGTCTGGTTCATGACACCGCTTATCAATGAGCATACACATCAGCAATCTGCGGGAACGACAGTGTTCAAAATAACGAGCACTGGAAGTGACTCCGAGGAAGCCCGATCAGCCCGGTGTGGTTGCAGGTAACCTACCGTTCGCGCTTCGGGTGAATTCAGGAGTTATAACAATTCCAGCTCTGTGCATACAAACGGAAAGCACGGTATTTCAAGCAACACAAGCTGCAATGCGCAAGTCCGACGGTTAACTCCACACACCAGCCCGAGCGACTCCGATAGTGGCGGCCTACTCGTGGGCCAGCCTCATCTTCTCACCAATTTGTCTCCGCCGATTTGGGTCGATCCCGGGAGTGATTTTCCTGCAGAAGGTACGTTATACGAGTTCAAATTGGGGCATCGGAAATACCATTCCAAGTCGTTGCGATGGCGCTTGGATGATGATATTTGCAGGATGGCCACCTCCGATGAGCATGCAACACGCCTCACATTTTGATGTCTGTGCGAGCACGGTCACCGCGCAGGGCATCCCACGGAGTGCGGAATGTAGACATGGTTGCCAAAAATGCTGATGTCAGTATCTACAGGATCGTGAGACACGGAGCCAGACCGCCCAAGCCGTACATCCCGTACCTGCCCCTTCATCTACTGCGCACTGCCCGCGTAGCTCACCCAACGACTGGGTCCTGCAGGTGAAGGGTGATTGCTTCCACTGCTATGCGCGTCCCAGGTTCGTTTCGCTTCTGAATGTCACATCGCCGTAGTGACTGACTTGCTCTCGCTTGTTAGGACTCCAACATGCTGCTGTTGAAAGGCAATACCCATCTGTTGCACGGCGGGGGCACGGTACGTGTTGTGCCATGTGCGAAACACAATCGAAGAGCTAAGTTTAGTCCAGGGAACCGCTTCAAAACTTAGTCGCGAAGATCTCGCGCTACGTGGTGTTCGCTCGCTTGCCTACGCTTACTAGTTTAATTTCCAACACAGGTGTTCCATGCTTGGACTCCCAATCTCGGTCCCCGGGCGGACGGTAAGTCTATGTAGTAGAATGGCCGTCCTCAACGTCGTTTTCAAGCAGCTCATACTGTGCGCTTTCATGGCATAGCGACAGTATCAATCCAAAGGTAAGGCCGACGTTCTTGTGTGGTGCATAGCATCGCGAACTACGCTCCCGTGTCGTCGGGACTGATTGCGCCCTTAACTTCTACTACTGGTGTGCTTGGCCGTTACCGTCGTATCGGCCCCCCGAGTCCGCCTCATATGGCTAATGCGAAAGCGAAGCGGACGGTGATGCGCTCCTGGTGGTCATGAGAATGATGTACAAGGTGCGCTGATTTCCCCACGGCGCAAATCCACTACTGAGATTCTGCGCTAGAATCTGGGCAGCAATGGTACCGGCACACAGTACTAGTTTGCCGGGCCGAAGTACATTGTGGGAACCGTCTTAGAAATGCGGCCACGGATTGATACACAATGTCCGCCTGCGGCAAATGAAACTCGCAGAGCTCGGAGCTTGGGTATTTGTTCGCCCTATGTCAGGCAGCAACGAGGACTCGTATGGCTCAGCAACCTTGTGAGTGTCGCAGAGCCACGCGATCGCAACTTGAAGCTGCGGCCCTTCGCATTTCAGCCCGGCACGAAGGCCCGTTTATTGATCATACCCGTTCGATTTGCCCAGGCGAGAAACCTTTATGGCATCCCCCATTTTCTGTAGCTGATTTGCGCCCTGGGAAACAGCTACGAATAGTGCACGCTCTCCAGGACCCACATGCCGGACCCCGTGCGCGCTACCGCCACGGCGGACCCCTAACAACATGCTTTCTTCATCAACCTCTCTGTCTCGCGTTGTATTCATGACATTTCTCGAAGTACGCGTCTTTTGGCATGCTTCCGCATCCTAGAAGAGCGATTCATGCTGCCGATGCAGCCGTAACACCGCTATCTTCGTGTATTTGCACGGGATCTGGCATACTGATTCCGCTCACCATGTAGATCATGCGTCGCTGCGGCTGGAGTCTATGATTCAGATGTATTCTTTCGATGCCATGTAACGAGAGGCCGGTGTTCTTGTCGCTTTCAAGTTGCTACCTCTTATATATCTTGATAGGATGAATAGTATCTGACTCGGATCGTATGTACTCTACGCCTTCGACTCGAGCGTCGGCAGCGGCGGCGGTAGAGCCAAGAAATGTAGCCCACACTAGGGACCACCATTTGCCGGCGTATTGCAGTATCTGCCGGTGCTCGCGCTTGAGCCGGGTCCAGTCGCCGATTTACTCCGCTGAAACGCGACTACACAGTACGTTATAGCCTGCCGTACGTATATCCGCCAGACCCCCGAGATCCTCATCGGCTGCCATCGGAAATTCACGGTAGCACCAGCATATCGAGGCGGTGTGTCCGCTTGCACCGATGTGGATGCGTCGTGCGCCTCAAGTGAGATAGCATTGGGGAAACACAGCTAGTACGTAGACAGAAATCGGGAAAATCTATGTCGGATAGATCGAAAACCTCAACGCCAGCGGCGCGGTCTATGTGCGTAAGCAGCACGATCAGGCGGCTCCGCTTCGATGCATGACACGCGCCTGGATTCCGCCCAGACGGGGGAATGTCAGTCTTGCAACGCCGTACGCATGCGAGGGGTGCTCCCTGGAAGAATGCGATGCATCCCATGTCTGCCATAAAGAACGTAAGCTTGATCGTGATCGCACAACGGCCTCCGAGTTGCGCGAGCCCGCGTACCTCATCCCTATCACTACAGCGCGCCCCACCGGCAGGGTAACGCTCGTTCGCGTCGTGCAGGAGCGCGGACCAGGGATTGAATATTGATCGTCGGAGGGGAGGCGGCATCGCTGGGGCGTTACGACGGCCCTCAGCGCGCGCCGATGCCCGGGTCACGGCGCACCCGGACTACGGAATTACAAAATCAGCATCCGACTTGAGGACGTGCGATTTCGTTGAGAAGTTGACAACGTACCAACGCCGCTGCGCCAGCGTTTGGAGACCGCGCGACCCGCGAAATGGCACCACAGGATGACAGATCGCCACCGCCGGAGCAAGGACGGAGGGCTTTGAAGCTATACGAGAGGCGAACGTAGTATGCGTGCGCTGTGAAGCGAGTCTATGGCACGAACATATTAGAGAATCATCCGGATGTGTTAGACCAACTCGCGGACGTACCATATAGTCCGGCGTGCAATTTTGAGCACGCTCGTGCGCCGTGCGAGTGAGAAGCAACCAGAGACTTCCATCCGAGGCTCTAGGCGCAGAAATACTCGGCGCCGGGGCACCAGCATCGCGCGCGGCGGGGGAAGTCTCTGCTTTAATGCACAGGTGTTAGATGCGAAATTAAGACTAGCTAGCTTATCCGTGCCGCACCGTGTTTGCATCGAGGCAGTCTCCAGTGCGACGTCTGGCGGCCTGGCTAAGGAGTGAGGACCCATTCTCATGTTAAGTTGAAGGCGCGGTAGCCGCGCTGTACAATCGAGCATGTCGCACTCAGAAAGAGCGCCGTTCTCGCTCTGCGGTGCAGCTCCTTGTGCTGCAGGCGCGTGTCGGTCTCTGCACGAACCCCAGGGCAGACGCGGGCTCAGCTGATCTCCACACAGAGAGGATTATAGCATTTGTGTGAACGTGCCCGTTAGCACAACACGAACACAACCACAAAACGGTGACTCTGTGAACTCACCTGCGCAGGAGCGCCGTCTACGGAGATCACGGCCATACCTCGCGATATCAGGCTATCTCGCAGCGAGCGTGACTCGGAGACACCGTGTGGGCCATGTCTTGCGTCTGGAGTCCGGTAGTCACACCTTCGAGATGCCGCGTGCGAGGGAGAAGAGTGGACGAGTGGTACGGCCGGAGACAGCCCCCCGCGAGCACACTCGCACAATCCTATCCTCGCGGCGGTGTCCAAGCGACTCGACTCGACATTCGTGTCGCCTCTCAGCAAACGTCCGCGATGCCCTCGTAATCGCGTGGAGCCGGATTCCCCACTTCGCGAGCCGCGCGCGCACGTTCCACATTCTGCGAGGGCGAGCAGACGTCGTAAGAATACCAGGAGAGCGATCGATGCAGCGGTACCTGCACCTGGCCGGCGCTGAGGGCGCGAAAGCGGCCTCCGAGTCGTTACGAGTAAGTACATGCACCGGACTCTGCTTGCGCGACACCAGCGTCGCGACCCAAACCTCAGACGCGCCGTCTCCGAGCACGTACGACATTCATGCTGTCTAGACGGGTACCACAAAGCGCTCGCGTTCGTCTGCGAGCCCAAAACGTCCGCGTCAGCTCTCGACGTTCAAACGTACCGGCCATGTACGCAGCAAGCTTACCTGCCCGCGAGCGTTCGTCCGTGCTGAACGGGCTCTCTCGGCCGCCACAGGCGGCGTTCTCGCTCGACGTGCTCGTTCTTCGCGTCGTTCTCGAGTGCGGAAGACAGCCGTATTTGACGGCGTACGCACGCAGTGCTCAAGGCGGACCTCGCGCGCGGACAGAGGATGCGTGCAGAGGCCCGCAAGGCGCGTTTCATTCCCGAGACGCGGCAGCATGGCGGGGAGCCCTCGACCGCGAGCAGCGCCATCCGCTCTCAGACTCGGTCGGTGACTGCCGCAGCCACGCACACGCCACGAGGAGATGCTCGTGAGGCCGACATCGGGACGGGTGTGGCAGCCGCAGGGCCGCCAGTAGTGCGTATTCTGCGAGTCGGTGCTGTGTTCGATATCAAAAGCGTACCGAGGGGCGGGCGGGGGCGGGCATGGCTCAAAGACGTCGTGGGTTCCATGCGGTGCAGCGTGCTGGCACTCGGGCGGATTGCAGGCATCATCGGCGGGTCCTTTGCATACGCGTTCGAAATGGGCGCGACTCTATCGACGCGTCGCCGACGAGCGTCGTCCCGGCAAAGAGATGCGCACGGCGCGGCCTGCACCGTACCACGTATTACGCGCAGAGACGTACACTGGGGCGGTGGACGCGGCGGCCGCGGGCGAGCAGACGTCCCGGACGCCTCGGCATCGCTCGAGAACGTGCGCAGCCGTCGGCGGGGGCAATACGCACAGCTCCGGGCACATTCGTCGCGCGGTGCTCCGCAGGTGGAGTCCATCGCGCGCAGACAAGGCCGACGCGGGCGGGGCAAGTCGTAGACAGGCGATCGACCGCACCCGGGCTTGTTTGCGGGTTGCTACGACGCAGTGGTCCGCTGCCTTCGCATCCAGGGCACCACACGTCGAGGCTCACAGGGCCGCCAGGCTGAGCCGCGGACGTGCTGGTGTCCGCTGGAACGGTCCTGACAACGATGTAAGCCCGGACAAGCTGGGCGCGCGAGATCGGGCACTCCGGCGATGGGCGCGACGGGCCGTCCGCGTCCGCGTAGTGCACACCGAGGAACGCCCTCCTAGACGTGTGCATACGCGGCGAGGCGGCGGCTCTCCGAGCATCGTGATCCCACATTTGCGAGCAGGGTCGGGCGCGGCGTCAGAACGCGTAGCAGGTCGAGATGGATACGACGAGGCGGGGGCGGTGGCGACTTTGTGCACGGTACAGGAACGATCGTGCGTGGCCCATCTCGCGAGCGAGAGCACGGGGGCAGGTGCGTCCGCGGCGTCTGCAGGGCCCGTGGACGTCGTGACGTGTGGGCGGCCTACGGACCAGAAAGGCGGAAGCGAGCGGTTACAGGGCAGGACTGGACGTCGTATGTTGGGGGCCAGGCCGTATCCTGGGAGACGAGGTTGCCGCGGAGGCGTGGAGACGCGCATCTCGGCACGTAGAGACATGTCGGCGCTGGAGGAACGAGGTCAGAACCTGCCCGGAACTGAGAGGGTATAAGAAGGAGGAGAAACGGACGGGAGATGGACACAGACGGGTGGTCCTCTGTGTGTCCCCGTCGCTGTCTCCCCTCCCATGTCTTACTTTGGTGTCTTGCTTGCCATATGTCCTCGTGGACTCGTGTCGAAGACGATCGCCTCGGAGATGAGGGCGATGGGGCTGGTACGTGATTGTATGCGTCCGTTTACGGGTACAGGATGAGTGCTGACTTGCGATACCCACAGGGCGAGCTTTGAACGTACAGGTTCGACGTCAACGCAGGCTATATGCGCGCCGTGAGTCGTCAGCAGCGGCGGCAATCACGCGTGTAGGGGAGGGGTTGAGACCGGAAGTGAGGGGGACCTCCCAGGTGAGGTCGGACTACGTAAGGTAGCGCTGTATGCGTGCGTGGGGGGCCGTACATGCTGTAGAGTACGGTGAGCGACAATGGTATGCGAGGTAGTAGAGGACGAAACGAGCCTAGCTTGGTCGCGTGTGCGCGAAGCCGTGGAAGCGGGACGAGCGCGTAAGGGCAGCCGTGCTAGTTGGCCAGTTCACGGAAGGCCCGCACGAGAGGGGCGTGCTCCAAGCAGCGAGAGGGCGGCCGCCAATCGCACGTGAGCGGACGCGGCGACGCGGGCCAAGGAGGCCATAGAGAGGACTGGCCGTCGAGGGCGACGTACCTTTCAACTAGTAAGATGCTCCGAGGGCCGGCCAAGAGGCTCGCTGGGCGTAGTGCATGGGAGACGTGAACGGGGCGAAGCGTGCAACAGGACGTCCTGAGTCCGGCGATCGCGGCGATGCACGTGCCCAGGGAAGCCTATGCAGTCGTCAAGAGCGACGCGCGTACTGGTCGTCTGAGCGGTCGCGAGAGGCTTGCTGGACAGTGGCGGTTGGAGAGGGAGAGTCCGAGCCAGAGACGTTCTCCGCGGAAGACGCAGAGACAGGCGCCTGCGGACCGATGACGCGCCGGCAATTAAGGCAGGAACGTTAATTGACACAGCCACCTCTCACTTGTCATTCAATGCCATCACGCCTCCCTCCTCACTCATTCGCGCGGATGCGTTCTCCGTCCTGCAACAAGCGGATTCACAAGACACTATCCGTCGGCCGGGTGACGCGCACCGTGCATGTCGAGAACAGGGATCCTCGCGTGGAGAAGGCGGGCGAGAAGACTCGGAGACTGCTCGATTTGGGAGCGGTGCATGCAGAAGGCGAGCGCGCGGAACTCAGGGCCTGTCACTGGAAGCGACGCCCTCGCAATTTGCGCCCGGTCGGGCTAGGACGATGCCTTTCCCCCTCTGCCCGTCGCCCTCAGTCCATCCCCGGTCCCGCCACTTTCCCCGCCACGTCCCTCCATGTCTGAGTCGTCTCCCGCCCCGCCCTTTGCCTCCTCCCTCTTCCTCCCGCCCGCCCTCCCCGACGCCTGCGCGCACAGCTCCCTCTGCGCCCGACCGTACACATCCGACCTCGCCCTCGCGAGGCATGTCCAACCTGAACCCCACATATGGCGCTCTCTTCGTCGGCGTGCTCTTGTCCGCTGTGTAAGCCCAAGTCTCATCTTGGATCGACCGCCGCTGAACTCTCCGCAGACTGTTTGGGGTGACCATGCTCCAGATGTTCGTCTACTTCCACCAGTATCCTACCGACAGGGCGTGGAGGAAGCTCGCCGTGGGCTGGCTCTGGTACGTGAGCCTCCATCGGCCCACTCGTCTCACCCGTTTATGCCCCTTCCTTGTTTCCGTAGGCTCCTTGATGCGATCCATCTGGCGCTGAGCGCGCACTTCGTCTACTTCTACCTTGTCACTAACTTCGACAAGCCCGACGCTCTTTCACATATTGTCTGGAGTTTCAAGGTACGCTTGTTCATTTCTTGTGTGGATGCAGTTGCTGAGACCCACATAGCTTCGCATAGTCATTGATGTATGTTTTCCGCAATCCGTCTCCGAAGGGCTTGTCCTGACCCCGCGCAGTCTCTTGTGGTCTGCTCAGTGCACACGTAAGTAGGTTTGCCAACATGACAGATTGTTGCTCACGGGTATCACAGACTGTATACGTCTCGGTTATGGACGCGTAGGTCGAACCTCATGGCGTCTATACTCCAATAGCTAACCGTATTAACCGACAGTCCTCGCTATCGACGAACGCATGGAACCCTTCGGTAAAGAAGCGCGTAGATGGAGTCGACAGAAGTTGACGGCGCATGCAAGCGCGTCGCGGTGGATAATGCGCAGATTGGTACCTTGGCTTGTCGTGAGTCGCAAAGTTGCATTTGAAGCACAAGATCTGAGCTAGCCATAGAGCGGGTTGGTCGGTCTTGGCTATGGTATGCGCCTCGCGAATCCGACCCAGATGCTTGACACGCTAACCCCCACGCCCGATCTACGTAGGCATCGCTATAGGTACGTCCCTTGCGGTATGCCTGCACGTGTAAACCCCATGCTTACTCGTTTCAGTGATGTGTGTTGAGACGTGAGATAGCTCGCCGCGTCGATGCACGTGCAGATCGCTGAAAATAATCCGACGCAGATTCAAGCTCGAGGCCTTCAGTGAACTAGCTCATACCCCTGTACGTTCATGTATCAACCGCAGTGAACCCCACCTGATAGGCTTGTGTTCTTTCCAGTGGGCGACATATGTACCCCTCGGTGCCTCCACCGTAATCGACGGGGTCATAGCCGGATCACTATGCTACTTCCTTGCTCGGTGTCGGCCACGTTCAGAAGCGTACGTCCCAGTGTCCCTGCATTTTTAGAGTTGAGCTGACGAGTACTGTGCAGGATGAATGGTCCGTTCAAGACACTAATGGTATACACGCTGAATACTGGTACCATTACTGGGTGCGTCTTCCCTTGCGCTCCACTGTTGCCACCTGTCCTGACAGCGGCGTTTAGCCTCTTTTCGCTCCTCGCAATTTCGATGGTATGTTCCTGTCCTGGTACAGGAATTCACACGCTAATCCCCGTGTCGGCAGATGGTCGCATATCCGACGACGTTCATCCCGGTTGCGATAGAATTTACTGTCGTCAAGCGTATGTCTTCATCCGTTGTACCGGTCCGATGTTGCGCTCACATTCGGCTGTTTACAGTATACATCAATTCATACATGGCCATGTACGCGGTCCGCGTGTTGTTGTCCGCGCTAGCTAACCTCGTTCATGCAGGCTTAACGCACGCGGCGTCATCCACCCCTCCCAGGTACACCACACCAGGACATCTTTCCTCCCCAGCAACTCGCGTATCTTCCGGTACCCCCTGGAGCAGAAGGGGCTCCCGTTTGCCTCATTCTCTGCCTCGGTCGCCTCCTTGCACCTTGCTCAGCGCCCGCCAAACCCGAGCCCCACACCTGGCGCGCACCATGCTCCGACCTCCGATGCGCGCGCCTCCGCGGAGTGGACCCGTCCGAGCCCGGTGCCGACCCTGCGTGCGCCGCGGCTCAGTCACCCCGATGTCTCCCCTCAGTATGGCGGGATCGAAACAGTAGTCGGTGTGGCGTTCCCCGCGGCGGCCCTCGGACAGCAGCAGCGCTTCAACTCCTTCACCTCCGCGTCATCCTCCGCCACCGTGGCGGTGCCTCCCAGTCCTAACCCGCTCGCTGCGGTGTACGCAACACCCGTGGACCCACTCTCAACCGCGCACCCCCTTCCGCCGACATTACACATCGAAATGGCGGAGATCACGGAGACAACAGTGGATCCGCCGGAGTACCCTTCGCCGCCCGATCGTGCGCTCTCTCCTCTTCGGTTCGCTTCATACGCGTCCTCGATCCCGAGCCCATCGGGTTCGCTGTCCTCTCCCTCGAGTCCTACGCATGCTCGCCATTCGCGCCCGCGGATTCCGAGCGCGTACTCTATGGACACGCGGGACGGCGAGGAGAGGCGAACGTCCCTCCCATCGGATTCCCCAGGATCCGAGCGGCGGTATACACGTATGGTAAACGCAGCGAGGGAGAGCCGTCGCACACTCGGCAGCTTCCAAAGTGGCACTGGCGGCGTTGAGGACGACCGCGGGGTATGGGTGTGGGGTGGCCCCGGGTCGTCATCGGCAGGCTAGGAGCAGCACGCCATTCTCGGTGATGTGGTCCCGACTCGCCCCGCGTCATGCTCAGACGCTTCTCCGCGGTCGCGTTGCGTAGGCTTCTGCCCACCGAGCGCGCCGTGCACCATATATACGTATGTTATTCACTACTCTATCTTGCCGTCGCGGACTAGTTTCGACATCCGTCCCAGATATCCCCCACGTTCGCTCTGCTGTCCATCCCTTTGTCACTGTGCATCTTTTCATCTTTTCCACGCTCTGGCACACACTCTTCGTCTGCTGTATCACTCTTTCGCGCCTCGCGAGCTAGCTGCGTAGACTAGTTCCGTGCGTTCGGCTGTACTAGTCCTCATCACTTTACATGCTCCCGGGCTCGCCCATAATACGACGCTCGTGTGTGCGCCGATTCTGGATGGCAGGGGGGAGCGGAGGGACATGACACCATAGCCAAAGTTCCGATTCCACAAAGAATCGGTCTTGCCTATGAGAAATGGATTGGTCACGTGAATCCAGGCGAACCCGGGTTCGTCCGTAGGTTTCCGTAGACTCCCTACTCTTCAGAGCGCTTGCATTTGCTTGCATCTGTTTGCTCTGTGGCGTCTTCACTCGCAAGTATTCCGCTACTCCTCGGTGATACATACGTACCATCATGCTACGTCCGTCTCCCATCGTCTCTGCCCACGATTTCTCTTGGACGTCTGCCAGCTACTCGAATAGTACCTACAGCGGTGCATGCCGTTGCTCGTCAGCGCCAGTGTCGCGCACGGTTTGATCGACGCGAATGAGAGGTGAGAGCCTTGCTCTGACGAGTCGGGATGGGAGACATGATAACTCACGGTGCGTGTCTTCCGGCGATATTCCCCGCCATAGCAAGTGGCATCTTACCCCACCTGCTGCCTCTTAGGTATCCTGCCCATGGCATCAAAATTCATCGATCATGTGCAGAGCTATGTGGCCGCGGACTTCATTCCGCTGTGCGACCAGTTCGCTTGTTTTGCGAGCTGTGTACAGCCGCATTTTGTCTGATGGGGCACGAGCTTTACGAGCTCTGACCTACATTTGGAGTGTGGCACTCCACGACGTCGACGCTAACGCGTGTGGAACAGCATCTCTCGCGCTGGCGAGTATGGCGCCGCACTGCAGGTATGTTCCGGCGCCATCAGGTGTAGCATCCAACGTCATTTTTGTGTGTATAATCGAAACAGCGTGCATGTTGCAATGATAACACATACATGAGATGAGGAGGCCCCCAGCGAGCGCATGAGGCATCTGGCGGCAGCCCTCTAGATACAGCCACTTGGCTCGATGCTCGCACCAGTGGGCTGTAGGCCCACCTCTCATTGTGAGTGTACGAATCTGCGGCAGGCATCATCGGCGGCCCACGCTGCCTCTGTCACCGTATTACAATTATCGGCCATGTGTTTGTTGTCCTGTTATACGTAGTATAACACATAGTTAATCATGCTATGAGTGACAAATATAATGTGCATTATCTAGGCCGCTGGAATCGGATCTGGCGTGCGAAGCATCGCCGTTCACCCTCAAGTGGTTAAGGCGACAGATTAGAATTGCGCGAGCGAGTATCTGTTTCACTTTGTGAGCGCAGGTTCGAACCCTGCTGGTGTCGTGAAGCCTTTCCAAAAAGCCTTTTGGCGGCGGTATGCTTGTGCAGCCTTTGATCACCGGTATGTGTGCGTCGAAACTAGATTATATTTGATGGACGGTGTTCTTGGAGTGACCTTGACCTTGACTGCTCGGGCTGGATCTACTGGCGAGCAGCTACTCCCCACATACCTGAACGCTTGCGCTTTGGTTCATACTGAGCATCTGGACCTCTGGCTTTTTTTTCTTCTCGTCTACAGTGCTGGAGGGACGAGCTGGAGCTCGGCCAACGGGGTCGGGCCGCCGGTCCCAGTGACCAGGCTCTTGAGCACAAGTCCTGTGTGCGGGGACGGCTACTACCCCGCGCATACTACTTCGCAAAGTCGCGTTGACCTGAATTGGCGAGCGGACTTAGCACCCACCCCGCATCAGGAGAGGCATACGAAGACCGCATTACTAGATGATGGCGAATGCATTCAGCTTGATGGAGGTGCGGGGGTCCGTACATTCATAACAAGACGCGACAGCCCGGGGCTCGACCGCGGTGCTTCAGACCATCCACCCTCCATTACTAGACGATCGCGTCGTGAGCGTGGAGGTAGCGAGCAGGACAACAGGAACTTACCGCGCTCGATCTCGACGTGTACGAGGTGCCCGATGCTTGGCAAACGACCCGTGATCCCCTTCGTCCACCACTTGAGGTAGTCTGAGCCGCCATCTTGTAGCTGGAAGTGTAGGCGTAGTAGAGACGGAAGATGTTCCCGGAGGAGACCGAATTCGTCCTCATCGCCCACTAGCACGTCGAGGAAGTCCCGAACGGCTGCCGGAAGATCGACCAGTGACGGAGATGGAGACAGATTGCATGATGTAGGCGGAGGGGAGCTGTGCGACTAGGTGGAACATGAACGCGCGACCCTGCGTCGGGTCGTCGGGAGGCGCGCGCGCTACGAGAGTGGAGAAGTCGACGGACAGCTCGAGGGAGCGTAGGTGTTTACACCAATGCGTGTAACGAGCGACGTTCTCTGGAATGTGCTGCACTTCAGAGATGCGCCGTAGTCAGAGGAGACCACCGATCACGTACCTAGAACGACGGAGAGTCGCGACCCGTGCGGCTGGAGAGAAAGCGAAGCGACCGAATCGCCGAAAACACGCGGTGGCGGAAAGAGGACCATTGGTTTGTTCCCTTGTTCGCAGAGAACGCTCTGAAAACCTCATCAGCGGACCGACGCGAGGAGGGAAGGCATAACGAACGTACTCCAACCTCGATCTTAGCGAGTTTGTCGCATGCGTTCGGATTCCGCAGTACGGAAAGCCTGAGCGCATCTTCGTCGGAGAGCGGCTTCTCAATAAACATCTTGCCGTGTATGACGAGATGCTGGAGGCTGCGGAGCGATCACACGAGGCGGATGAAGTCTGCCACAGTGCGGAACCGGGCAAACCACAAGTGGAGGACAACGAGCGACCTGAACTGGGCGAGCGGCCCGCTATGTGCGCGCGGGTTACACACCCAATTGACTCGCTTCATGCACAACAAACGGAGGTTGGGAAGGGCGCTCGTGAGCTTGGGGAGGTGGAATGACACACAGCCGAGCTCCTTGCCAGGGCGCGCGGGGTAGATTTGGAGTTCTAGAATGAGCTGGCCTAATTGCGGATCATCGTCAATCAGGTCTAGAAGTTTGGACGCTTGGGATCCCGTTCTGATCATGGTGGTGTGCCAGAGTTTGCAGCGAGCGCGTGGGCACCATCCGCGGCAGACGGCAGCGCACGCCCGCAAGGCTTGAGGATGCCAGAACTCTTCACCCATCGGAAGCGACAGCTCGTCTATGACGCGCTCCCAGAGAATAAGCGGCAACCTGTATCCTCCGTGGCACCATATGAAGCCGCGAACAGAGCACCAGTACGCTGAGACCAACATGGTGAGTGAAGGTAGTGTTGCGAGGGTGCGATCGGGTGGGTGGTCTTTGCTGTGCAATGGCTCTTATGGCTATGTCTGCGATGCAGGTAGAGCGTAGCTTGTTGTAAGCGCAGGCAGTGTTCCGGTGACTTCGGTACTTGGATTTGGAAGCTCCGAAAGAGTCCGCGATGCGCGATGGTCAGATCGGGTCAGATATCGACACTACTTCATAGATTATCAGTTATCATGACTTACTGTGGTTGGCAATTTGCCACCAGCATTCCTTCGGGCACATTCTATCAATACAGTTGCACGATTAGCACGCCCAGCTGATACTTGGGTGCGGCTGTGCGAAACTCATCGTTCCGCACGCGGAGCGGACCGCACGGAGGAACCGCAGAAAACGTCCGAGGTACGATGATTTCGGGTCAAATACACACTCACTCACTCACTCACTCGCATAGACCGGTCTTCTGTACTCACGTTGCAACTGTGCGTGGAGAGTGGCGGTTGAGTTTGCTACCAGCGTACACCTCATTTTTGGAGCTTTCATGATAGCCAAGGTATGAAGTGCATGGATCTGCCGAGTACGCCATCATACAGATGGCAGATACAAGGTAGACAGAGATCCAGAGTGAACGGCCGTGGAGAAGAGAGCCGTTAGGTCCAAATGAGTGCCGCGCGGCATTTGCCGACCCTCAAAGGCGTCTCCGCCGTGGCCTCAGTCTCGCGCGATAGCCCGCGCCTTGCCTCCGCCACCGACGACGGTCTCAACATGATCTAAGTGGTCGGGGAAGACAAGCACCTCGCGACGCTGCGGGGCCACACAGAGGCCACCACCCTCTTCACCTGGTCGCACGACGGTAGTCGCATCGCGGCGTCCGCGTCCGACGACTTTATGGTGCGCTTGTAGGATGTGGAGATGTACGAGCCGGTTTCCCTACTCATTGGTCATGCATCAAGGACGACTCCTCTCTAATCCCATAATCATAGCGCAAGTTGTAGCCGTCTATATCCAATGCTGTCTATATCCAATGCCGTCTATGTCGAGTGCCCGGGGCGAGATTGTAGGTCTGGCGGGGTATGCAAGTCCAAGTCTAGTTGCGCCCCTCAGAGAACGAACATTGAGATCTAGGGCGTAACGGCGACGTACCTATCGAAAGGTTTGGAAGGTCCAAAACTACCGACTACAGGGCGTCGGAACCAGCAGCGTAGAGATGCCGAAAGTTGCGGTGAATCATGAGCTCCGGCTGGACGCTTCCTGCAGAAGGACGACGAATCTCGACGATGACGAGGTGGTCGATGTTGACGGGGCGACCCTTAAACACCAGTTGTCTAGGGAGCTGCAAACTCTGTCAGCCAATGTGAGCTTCGAAGAAAAGACTCCAAGGCGGAGGCGATGAAGGTTCAAATCTCACCTGCAAGAACATACGCAGCTGCGCCGCCACTATTCTGGTGAGTCCCGCCCTGGAGAGGGGCACCCGACGCGAACGTCTCCCCGCGACCTGCTTCCCGTTCAGCGATGGCCCTTCGGGTTTGTAGTATTCGTTGAATTGAACGGGATGTTTGTTGGGCTCGAGATTTTCAAACTAGCAGAAAGCCGCATGAGCGCACCTGTACATGACGGGCACGACGATGAGACAACGTACCTCGAATCGGACGCAAAACTTTTTTTCTGTTCGTGCTAGGTCTGGGAAGGCTGAATCTTGATACCTCTCCAGGACACCAGGTTCCGCAAGCCGTTGCATAGAAACAGCATCGGAAACGAGGACGTTGATGATCGCGGGGGCCACTGGGCGTATGTCTTCATACCGGCCACGCGGGTATGGCCTTTGGTGGATGATCCACTCGCGATCTGAGTTCCAAGCACTCATCGCCGCCGCCAGGTACCCTTCGGGGAGCACCGGCTGAGGATGAACATACCCCGCGACTTCGTACATCCCACCGTTGGCCGGCGATGGCGCAGTGAATATACCCTGGTCGGGGGGGACAAAGGGCAGAGCATCGAGGGGCCCTTGGAGCCCATAGTTTCCCGATATCAAGCCCAGCAGATGGTGATAGAGGGGATCGTGCGAGGGCGTGGGGTACGCAGCAGGGCTCCCGTCCCAGTGCTACATCATATCCCACAATGAGGGTAGAACTTTGAAAATATTAGACTGATGACGCTCACAGCGACAGTATCAACACGAGTTTCCGCGTTGAAGGCGAGGTTGCTGCCCTGGTGCATTTGGAGAAGAGCATTCGTCCTGTATGCAGGCACTGTGGAATATTCATGGAGGCTAGCGTGCGGCGGCTGCCAGACTGGCATGGCCGGCTGCGGCGGCAAGATGGTGTTGATCCCATTCGGGAAACCCTGGAGTCGTGTATGGTCAACATATGTAAGTACGAAACAGGGCAAACGATGACGCACAGATCTTTGCGAAGAGTTTACTTCGTAGACGGGGGCCGTTTGCCAGTGGGTTATGCGAGTCCCGGACATCGCAGTATTGTTCTGGGTCGGTGCACCCTGTTCAGATCCTTTAGTGAAGCCTAAGGTCATTTGCGTTTGACGTACGGATTGTGCAATGCCTCCAGCATATTCAGCATATCTGGTAGCAGTCATCGGGGGAGGGAAGGAAAGCCTTAAGGGCTGCGACGGCGGAGCGTCATCGCCGATTGCTGGTTGGTCCTGATAGGACTAAGGTCGCGTCAGTGTGGGCCTCAAACAGATGGCGTCACTGGCAATCGCACCACGGGGCTGTAGTGGGAGTATATGTTTGTGAGTGAGGGGTTGAAGTAAGGCTGGTTGTCGAAGGACGGCGGGGGCTGGTTCGCCATCCCCACAGCGGTGGGGTGGTGGTGGTTCAGAGGAACTTGTGAGGTTTGGGGAATCACACTTGGACGACTGATATAGGCTGAGCCCTCAATCCGTACGGTGGCAAATGATGCCAGTTGGCCGGCAGATGTGAGGACATTCGAAAGCAACAGCCGTATCTGGAGCACCGCTCTTCTGCCTTTGTTCCACTAGGGTGAAGGGCGAGAATCAGGTGAGTGAGTGGCCGGGATATCTGGTTATTTTACGCAGTGTACGCCTTGGATAGGGCGATCGAGTCCATCGATAGTGTTGTACTCTTCCGGTGAGAGTGAAAACCAGCGGATGAGGGGCAGCGTACTAGAAGAGCACAGCGAGTCAGCATAATAATCCCCGAGTACAGCACAGAAAAGACAGTCGTATCGCTGAGGATGGGCATTAGGATGTCACCTCTGCGGCACTGAGACGGTCGCCTTATTATGCGCGTTGAAGACGGCCCCTTACGCATTGGTACCACCGCTGTAGCAGCGCACGAAGGTGGACTGGCTATTTTCTGACAGATGCATCTCACGCGCGGCCATAGGTTTCTAGTCGGCCGGTTCGCAAGCTCTGTCATGTGCTCCGTCTGGCAGCCGAAGAGCTGATTCGAACTTCAGTGTCGCGCAGAGAAGAGAATGATGACTTCGATTGCATACAGACCACTGCAGATATCAAGATATCCAATATCTGGCATGGCTTGCAAGTTCCGACCGCCTGCTGGTGAGCGGACATAGTGGCATAAAGTTGATCACTCAGGCGTGAAGCAGCGGTTATGACGACCTCGTGGATCAATGCAGGTTTCCTGGCATTCCCTCACTTACGTGAAGCAATGCCACGCCACGCCACGCGAAACCGGAACAAAGTGGGAGCTGACTGCGCACCGATGTTGCAGCTACAGCCAACGCCGCAGCTACGGACATCATGAGAAGTTACGGGGGACCTGATGAACACCGGTGCTCGCCTGACCCCTTGAGTGAGGAACGGGAGTAATAAAGATATGATTGAGAGGCGAACCTTGAGCTTTCGTGCGCGATAGCGATCCAGACGTATTCTGTTGAATTCGTCGAATCACTGGTACTCGGAATAAGGTTGAGGTAGCGCTAGTGTTCGGGCATGGCTATGGCGGCAAGACGGCCTCTCACACGCAATAACACCGTCTAGTGAAGCGGCATTGGGGTCCAGACGTCCAAGCCTAGACGGTGGACCAGAGGACACGACACACGCCGACAACTGCGTCATACTACCAAGAAACTCGGACAACCACAGACGCTACGTTAGGGCAGGTTCAGTTATTGACAGCGCTAAGTAGCTCCGGTCTCTCCGGAAACTCCCGGATCACGCAAACTTGCTACGACGACGCTGGCTCGAAGAGTGGCATAACGTGAGTATATCCCTCTTGCATATCACTTACAGTGTCACGCTAACATTCTCTTTCTCAAAGCTGTAGCAATGTTTGGTTTGTAGATATAGACAAGGCTCACAAAGAGAACACCGGATGCGATCTATCCAAACCATTGAGCTGTGTGATCGCCTCTCCCAGCCTGGCATCCACAGTGAACGTAGATTGTATCCCCGAGGCCTGCTCCAAGAAGGAGCACGATGGTAAGTACCTTTCATATCGTTTTCATGCTTCTTCGTTTATGGTATGTTGCCGCGCAGTTTGCCGCGCTTCCGCCGAGACACTGTGCGGCTCGAACTGTACCTCTCGATAAACATTATGCCATGAATGACGAGACATCGTAGGATGCGAAGTGACCACACGAGTCGGATGAAGTCTGTCACGGTGCGGAACCTTGCGAACCACAAGTCGAGGATCGCGAGCGACCAGAATTGCGCGAGCAGCCCGCTGTGCGTGCGCGGGTTACAACCCCAGTTGACCCGATTCATGCACAGCAGACGGAGTTACGGGAGCGCTATCGTGAGTTTCGGCAGGTGGGCGTTGGTTTATCGATATCACCTCATGCATTGTGCACATCTGTGCTGATTATGGTCTGAAAAGTATATATCACACAGTCCCAACAGATCTATCAACGAAGTTTAACCCGGACTCGACGTTTGCTGCCTGAGACTGCATCGAATATGGAGACGGCACACGAGTAACGCTGGTGCTTGATACGGACACCGCGCAACGGTATAGCGGCTACAACGGCATCTGTGATGGCTCCAACCGGAGTAGACCGACCTCCGTCAGCTAGCAAAGGCTTGGTCGATAACGGCAGCCCGTTCTCTTCCCGGCATACGCGAAGGTGCGCTGAACATATTCCGGAACTCTTCTCTTCTTTCAGACAAATCCTAACTTGCGATTGGGCAGGAGCGATCATCGCCCTTCGTCTTGGCATGCGGGTGTGCATAACTATGAACCCCACGCACGGTACGCACGCAGGAAACGGTCAGGCCGTCTGTGAATTCTGCTTCATTTTACATCGCCCTCCGGAGCAATGAACCCCCGAAGCTGCATACAGTACTCACAACCCAACGGTTTACGCACTGCTCTGAAGCTCAGCAGAGTATAAGAGTAAGGCAGTCGCAGAACCATATCCTCACCGCCGTCCGCTCTCTCTTCCTCCACACTCGCTCATTCTTACCTTGTCTTTAACTACCCCAACCACTTTCCTTATTATTACCACGATGATGCACCTTGTCAACTTCGTCCTTGCCGCCCTCGTCGTCACCCGCGGTACGCCCGCCCGCATTCTTCTACTCATATCGTCGTAGCTGACATTTTCTTGCAGGCCTCGCCGCACCCGTCGACACCGCTGTCCAGGCGCGCGACGACCAGCCCATCATCTGGGCTCCGGCCTTGGGCCACCCGACCGTGCCGATCACGCCCGCCATGGGCCACCCCGACGTTGCCATCAACGCCCCCGCCCTGGGCCACCCCGTCGAGCCCGTCGCGTGGACCCCCGCCCTCGGCGGCGACCTCCACCTCAAGCGCGACGAGCCCACCGCGACGATGTGGACCCCCGCCATGGGCCACCCCTCCGAGCCCGTCATGTGGACGCCGGCGATGGGCCATCCCGACGAAGGCTTCTCCTGGACGCCGGCGATGGGTCACCCCTCCGAGCCTGTCATGTGGACGCCTGCGATGGGCGGCGACCTGCACCTCAAGCGTGACGAGCTCGACGAGCCGAGCACGGACGGGACGCAGACCGTGGCGAACCCGTGGGCGACTCGCACCGCTGCCAACGCGATTCCGACTTGGCTCACTCGTGGACCGTCGGAGGCCATACCGCCGTGGGCGACTCGTACGGCGGCCAACGCCATCCCGACGTGGCTCACCCGCGGTCCCCCGGGGGCTGCCCCAAGCTCGAACTAGACGAGCACTCAGTGTTAGTGAGTGTCGTATGTTTCTTCTGGAAAGTGTAAGCTAACCGGCGCTATCCTTCCACCGCAGCGATGTGAGGTGACTTTATATCTGCTTGATTACCCGCACGGCGGCGGGATAATCCGGTCACCCTTGGGCTATGGATGTGACGGACTACTTATTAGCATCATCGTAGCACTCGATAATACATGTGGCGGCCTGCCCATCTTGCGCTTCTGAGATGCTGGAGTGTGGGTTCATGGTTGTAAACATAATACGACCGTTACCATAGGTTCTTGGTTATCGTGCTACTTCAAGTTACCTCAACTACAACCGCCTGCTAAGCGTGAGAAAATGACATTAATGTGAGGAAGCGCTTGAGAAGCCCTGGCGTTAACGTTCACTTCTCGCACCGCAAGCACCGCATCCTCCTACTCGCTTGCCACCACTCGTACCGCATCCCTTACGGTATTGATCTCTATTCGTGCGCACGCTGCATCGCTAGGGCAAAAATAGAGTGCTATCAATGGCGCTCTGGTAACGCCGCCGAACTCGAATACACTAGGCAACAGCACTTGTATACTGCCAGCGCCGCTATCACAGTGTCCAAGGTCGTTCACGGTACATTAAACATTTCTTTGTGGTATGCATTTCTAACCGCCTGCATCTGTGTTCTTCTCTCAGTACATCGTCGGGCCCTCAAAGAACGCTAGAAACTGACCATACTTACTCCGGATCGATGCCCACGCTTTGCATTGCAGGCGTCTTTCTTGCGCATGGCTGTTCCGAAGACAAGGGAGACCCTGAAGCCTGCCAACATGTGCAGGTGGGCAGTGCCGGTTCCCCTCCACGCCGCTGCGAATGATGCAATTCTGATCTTCGATGTCAAAGTATCCTATACATGCCCCTGCCTCAACCTGGGTATTAGGACCCCACACCACGCGCCCCAACGATATGCCCCCTCCTCCCTCCGACGTGGCCTCTATGGTGCAGCGCCGCCATGCCCCCCACCCTCCCGATACACCATGTCTACACTGAACAACTGCTTCCTCTCGGCCATGGATTTCCGCTCTGGGACGCGGAGCCGGAGGACAAGAAGTTCGAGGTCGAGATTGGGACGGTGGGCCGCATCGACTCCGGCAAGTTCTGGCTCCTGTTCAACGCGATGAAGCCGGCCGACGACCCCTACCAGAAGCACGGAGTTCCAGCGACGTACGAGCCGCTGAGTATCCCAGGGCATGCGCCGCAAGGGCCGTGGGAGAAGATCAAGTTCCCGCTCGTCGTGAGCCGCACGGTCTGCAACCGCGATATCGCCGCCGCGTTACAGGCAGGATCGTGAGCGACTTTTCACCCTCTGTGCCGCCATGATATCTCTGACATCGCAATTTCTAGGCCCGATGGGTCAGTCTCTTTGGGAGGAAGCCTGAAGTTCGACTGCAGCGAGAATACTGGCGCCTTCCTCTTGCTCGAGCGCCCCGCCATAGCGCTGGTGCTCCCGGCCAAAGACCGCATCGTGCGGTACATGCGGGACAACTTCGACCGCTGGCTCGAATTCGCGAACGCGGACAATGGCCTCTCTCTGCGCCCGGAGGAGATCTACTTCGTCCACGGCACGGTGAAGACGAGCAAGTGGGCCGCTGGCGCGTTTCACGGCAACTGCAGGAACAGGGAGGGGTCTTTGAAGGCACAGCTCATGGAGGTCGGTAATTTCGATCTCTCGATCTCCGTCAGCACCGAGGATTACACGCGGATGGAGTACAATTATGGTCCTACTGGGCGCGACCTCAGCGGCGCCGCTTTCGTCGCGGCGCCCTCGTCAAACACTAATATCGACGCCGTGGGCGCGCGCAAGTGCGACCAGTGCATCTTCTTCAACTACTTTAAAGCGAAGAAGAGGCTATTCATTGGACCAAAGTACATGGTCGCTGCCGCAGGTCCTCATGAGCTTCCTCCACCAGACCGCGACGACTTCGCCTCGTCCGATGCCGTTCTCGCAGACGGGGGTCCATGGTTCGACGAGGACTTCGAGGAGATGCCTGATACGGCGCCAGCCTCGGTGCGTACAGCTATGATCTAATGATTGTAAACCCTTTTTGCTGACACTTTGCGCCAGTCTTGCGACCCTGTCGACTTCCTCTTGGATTATATTCTGGAGGTACGTGTACTGTAATTGCAGGGGTACATCCATTACTGACCCTCCTTGAAGCATTCGGAAGCGGAGATCGCCATTGCATGCGACACAGATCTCTACGCTCTGTTTGAGGTATGCCGTTCTACATTCCTTTCTATGTGGCGGTGCGACTGACAGGCGGATGCATGCAGCACACCGGATTTCCGTCGGACGTCGCCGCCGCGTTAAAGAGCATGCAGCCGATCATACACGTGGACAACTCTGGAGGTACTTCTCTGTAGCTTCATGGTGTTACACCATGCTGAATATACTCGTCGTTAGGTGGTATAGTGGTTACTGGGGCCTACGAATCCCGGAAGCCGCCGCAATGGAGTGCCCTGACTCCAATGCTCGGAGAAAGTAGGAATTCATTGGGAGGTCAGTCGAGGTTGTTGTCGCCAGTATTCTGAATAGCTCAAGGTTATGCAGATACAACATTGCAATACGCAGGCGCAGGAGATCAAACACCGAAGCCAGACAAAACCCACTTCTCAACAGCAGAGCGGCAATCGCCGCAGTCGGCCTGGCGGGATCCCCTCTGGGATAGCCCAGAGCTGGCTCTGTGGGACGATCAGAAGGCGCACAGTTACTACACGCCAGGACTCACTGGAAGGCTACCAGGGAAGCCAGTGAAGCAGGAGAGATCGAGGAAACCTCGAGAACAATCCTGGGACGACGCCTACGTAGGTACGACCACGGCCACTGCAGTCTCCTCCGACGGCAAGTGGATGGCGCGCGGGTATGATGACGGGGCCATCGTCCTCCAGGAGGTATCGCGAAGGGCATCCGTGTGTGCATGGGACAGCCACCCCGACTACGAAAGCATCTCTGCCTTAGCCTTCTCGCGTGATAGCGCACGCCTCGCCTCTGCCACCGACGACGGCATCATCATGATCTGGGCGGTCGAGGAAGACCAGCACCTCGCGACGCTGCAGGGACACACGGAAGCCGCTACCATTCTATCTTGGTCGCCCGACGGTACACACATCGCGTCTGCATCCGAAGACTTTACTGTGCGCCTATGGGATGCGGAGACGTACCAACCGCTCTTCCTGCTCGACGGCCACGACGAGCCTCTCACAGTCCTGACATTTTCTCCCAACGGCCGCTGGCTTGTGTCGGGCGGCGAGGACTGCTTCTGTCTCCTCTGGGACGTCGCGTCGGGGGAACTCCGCAAAGAGCTGTATGGCCACGACGACCCGGTGAGGGCCGCGGAGTTCGACGCGCGGAGCGCGCGACTTGTCACCTGCTCGGATGACACGACTACGCGCATCTGGAGTGTCGAAACTGGAGAAGAGCTGCTCAAGCTGGAGGCACACCGGAGCACAGTCTGGAATGCGGTGTTCTCTCGGGATGGGCGGCGCGTGATGACGGTGGCGAGCACTACGGCCAAGATCCACGACTCCTTTACGGGAGAGAAGAAGTTCACGTTCAAGGGCGCTGGTGCGGCGCTCAGGGCTTCGCAAATGCTGGAGAGGAGGTTGGCGTAAAAAAACGCGGTGGCCGTGGTATGCTGGAACTATGGCAGCGAATTCTGATCTGGCGTAGTCATATCGTCTCCGCGGGGGCTCTGTGTGCGTAGCGACCTTCAGCTGCAGGAGGCACGCGTACTCCGATCGTGGTTGTGCCGGCAGTGGACCGGGCCTTATACCACTGGGTGGCGGCTCTCGTCTCCCTTAGTCTCTCGTAAGCAAATACACCATAGATATTTTGCACACACGGAATTGGTACAAAGTTTCCTGCAGTGTATCTAGACGCTGCTGTACATCTTGATATTACAGCGGTCCTGTGGCATTGGTAGGGGCCTCACTGATGGCATCGCTACTGTGGCATCCCCGCCCTAGCTTCCACGGATGTAGTTAGGAGTTCCCTGCCATAGGCTCTTCGCTGGATGATGCCATGTCATCTCTGCGGAAGCCATGATGCGTTCGCCTTCCTCTGGCTCGATGCTTTGAAGAAATCTCAGGTTGCCCCTCTGCGAGATGCGCCAAAACGCGCGCCGGCCCATCACAAAGAAGCAGAGGACGGCGAGAGCCTGTGTCGCGTCGGCGATCTCCTGGGCCCAGTGCACGAGGTCATCGTCGAAGGCGGACAGAACATCGAGGATCTGGTCCTCGTCTCCGAGTGTAGAGTCTTCGAACTCGTCCTCGTACTCAGGGGACACTGCGTGCAGCCGGAACGAGAAGAAACATACTCCTTGCAGCGCGCCGAGTAGCGTTGTGATGGCATCCTAGACGAGAAACATTTGATGCTCGTGTCAGCTACTGCCAATCTAACTTACGGCGGCGGGGGAGGATTGAACTGACCATGTAGTGAACTGGGTTGTCCTCAATCCTTCTGAGCGAGATGTCCAGCCCAAAGTGGGTGATCCCGCTGATAACCGGTTCGCGCAAACCATCGGCAAGCCGCAGGAGGAGCTCCGGAGATAAGTCTATAGAGACGCGTTCGCGACAGTCCCAGTATCCCCACTGTAAGACAAGACATTGAGGCCGTACGTCCGGGAGCGTCATGCACAGGTACTCGATGTCCTCGTTGTCGAATTCCCAGAATGTGACGTCTAATCTGCGCACCGGGCACTTCAGCGCGAGCGTGTACAGCGTTTCGACGTCCGCATGGACGAAGTCCAGTCTCTCCCACTGTTTTGCGTACGAGGCGTTGACGGCGCGAACCTCCTGCGCGGACGGCCCGTCCCCTGGGTGAGACCTGACAGTACGGGGTTCCATCCAGAATGCTTCCAGTGCGCTGATGTTCGGAAATGCGTTCACTACTACCTTGCGTTCGAAGAGTTGACACCTGGAGAGTGCAACCGTGCGGACGTGCGGATACACGGCATCGACTGTGCATAATGCTTCTTTGATGAGACATCCGAGGAAGATTGTCGCCCGTTGCAGCGTGTCTCGGTGTCGGCGGAGCATCGTTAGGGGGTCCGGTAGGCTCAGCCCGTCGTAATGCCTAATGGGCATCCCGTTGACGCGAGATGTATAGTCAAGGTACACCTCGGAGAGGTGCGAGCGGAGGTTGGTGATGAGGTTTTCCGTCAGTGGGCCATAGTCGGAGATGTGCAGCTCCTGCAAGGTGGTGAGCCCTACGAAGGCGTACACGAGCCGTTCGTCCCTCTCCAAAAGCGTCTCACAGCACGAGATTTCAAGTCTCTGCAGAGTGGTGAGACGCTTTAAGATAGGGACGAGGAGGAGAGGGGCGTGTAGTGCTTCAATCGGGTGATCGTCCTGGTGTTCTTCCGTGGAACTCTGTTCCTGCTCGCCCCTATAACGCTCGCCTCTTTTGGCTGCGAAGGAGATCGTGAAGTTGTGCACCTGTTTGGCGTCGCGCACAGGTACGTCGAGGAGGATCCGCTTCATGAAGCGGCAAAATGAGATCAGCTTCGTGCCGGCACGTATCGACACCCCAATCGCCAGCAGACGGTTGATACCTAGAGCATAAAACGACCAAGAAGAGCGCATGAACGCAGACACGTCGGCCTGCTGCTCCAGCTCTTCAAGGATCATGTAGAAGACATCATCGGGAAGTGCAGGCAATGCCATGGCGACGTTTCCTATTATAGATGATGTCAGAGAAGAGGCGAAAGAGAGATGGGAGGATTTATCACCGCACTCGTGTGTCTACTCACGAGACCGCTTGCGTTCTTGAGATACAAGCAGTAGATCGAGTTGAGTGGCGGGAATTGGAGGTGGGGCAGATCGCGATAGGACTGTACGCCAAAACGCCCCACAGATAACTATATGAGGCGCGAGGGTACGTGTGAGGGTTGATCCTGGGGGCAATTCTGCGGCAGAAGCTGTTGAAGGAGCCTCTTGAGGTTACCAACGACTCCTTTTAACAGCTGCCAGTGCTGCCCGTGCCGCCTGCTAACCGTTCACAACGAATCGTCGTATTGCTGAAGTTGCATTGTGCGGTAGTAGGTGCGCCTATACGCGACGGCAGAAACTAAGACACTCAACAGTGATAAATATCATAATCGGGCTGTAGATTCAATACGATGGTGAGTGTTGAGTGTAGCATTCGTGGAAGCTGAACGTGCCAGCACAATCGTTGACGGGCGCTCCAGAGTGTTCTACTGTTTGATAGCACAGCCACCACGAGAGCTGCGCGTGCGTGCCACTGATTGTACTGTCCGTCCTCTATCATTACATCGATGCCGTAGGTGCTATCCCGCTTTTGTACTCTCGTAGAGACATCTGTGTCAATTATTCTCCTCAGCGACTACTTATTTCAAGATCGAAGTGAGGTTTGACGCTGGCAGAAGCATTAACATTCCTCAAGCATCGCCGCAGCGTATAGTAAGCAGCATCGGACCTAGCGCAATACTAGGTTCGGATCAAGCCGCCTTACTCCGACGGGAATTTTCGTGCTCCAGCGCAATACCGCACCGTGCGCGTCGCCAAGGCTGATATTGAGTCTAAATCGTACTCCCTGAGGCGCCCTGGGGGTCCACAGGTAGCTCTTACCAGCAATAAGGAGGCGTCGCCGCGACGGTCGCGCTACCCGGTATCAATCAAATACTCTGCCATTATATGTAGTAACTGCGCTTTGCATCGCCTTCCACCGTGTGTCGAAGAAGTCTCCGTCAAAACATCAGCGGCATGCCTGTGAGCGCTGTGGCTGATTTGATTGAGAAATCGATACTGTCAAACGACCAAAACAGATTCACTTGCGATGAGAAGGCCATCGCGGAAAAACCGAGCAAGTGAATAGGATGCTACCAAAGGGGCATTCAAGTTACCTCCAGCGCATACGATCCCCTTTGTCCTCCTCGAAACCATCACGACATGTAATACGTCGTCGCTAGGGCATGTCGTGGCTTGAAGTCATTGCCGCCAGAATAGCCTCTGTGTCCACTCCGGGGAAGATCTCGAAGTCCATGTCGACCTCGCATAAAGTCCTGTTGTCTTCCGGGAGCTGCACATGAAGGCTCAGCATCGGTCTCCGCGGCGGACTGTGCGAGCGGTTCCTCCAGACTCACCGTGCCATTCACGAAGTATGCAAACATGACCGCGTCGAGGCATTGAGACGGCTCGGAGGCCGACGTATGCTGCCAGACGCAGCGGATCAGCATCGACACCAAACGGTGCTCTGGCAGTCGCAGCTCACCCCGAACGCGTCTTGCTGGACAAGCCTAGCGTTGTCTCCGAGAAGCGCCACCACCGCCTCAGCCTCTGAAGGCGGGGTGACGGGATCGAACTGCAGCCTGGTTAGCCTAAGTTCTCCATAAACGGAGCAGAGAGAGACCGCGCACCGTGTTGCTAACGACCATCACCTTGTTCGCGAGCGTCTTGTTGAAAGGACCCTGGTACCTCTCCACAGCGCGCACAGGCCAGAACGGGCACGCGTAGAACTCCGCGGGCCACACCACGCTGACTGGGTGCCACACGTTCAAATTTAGCCTATACGAACGAAGATATAGAAAAAGAACGTACACATTTCTGAAGTATTGCGCGAGGCGGCGATAACAGTTTCGAACACCTCGGACATGCGCGTTCCGCGCAGATCGATGCTGTCGCCACAGAGAATTGCCTCGTCTGAGTACGAGCGTGTCTGGTTTTGTTGGTCTCCGCTGGCTCTGCGGGTACTGTGAATGTATATTGTCAGATCTTGACTTGCGAAGATTCAGACAGAAACACGCACCGGCGGCGAGCAGACCCCATACTACGCCGAGAAGTGAAAGGTTCAGAGCCAGACTCAGACTGCACGCCTGCGACGAGCATGGGCCACGTCGTATTCGCGAAGATCGCTGCCTGACCAGGGGACTCTATCACCGACAGCAGCTCCTCTACAAGATCAAACGTTGCTTTAGCTAACTATCCCTGTACAGGGTGTTCTAGGACACAAGGCACAAGGTACCTACCGCGTGTAATTTCCGACGTCACAGGAACAGAGGCGTTCCTGCGCGCGGCGTCGTGCGCCTGTTTGAGGAGCGCCTGGATCGTCGCGTCGATATCTGCTGCGGTCTGTCCCTCGGCGGAGGCGATCGGACAGCCCTGCGGACCGGCGAGGGCGCAGCCGGTGAGGAAGACCTCGTAGGCCTTGTCGGCGTCCGCCAGCTCGTGGAACGCCCACATCTGCGAAAGCAGTACTGCGTCACTGGTCTGAGGCGAGAGAAAGGAAGGATGCGGGCTGACCGTCGCTGTTTCTTCGGTAGCGAGCAGCGTTGGGTTGACTATGCCGTCGATGATGACTCGGCCCACGCGCTGTGAAGTTCATCGCGCGTGAGCGAAGGTTCCTCAATAGCACAAACTCTCACTCACCTCAGGGAACACTGACGGTGAACGTTTAAGCTTCGGGTTATGAGTGACTTTTGATAAATCACTCACTATTGATGAGCCACATGCCCAAGAGCGAACCGTACGAGGTTCCCACGAAGTTCACCGGACGGCCAGGCCCGTCGAGCGCGTCTGCGAGGGCGACAATGTCGCGTGCAGTCGCGGCCGTTCCGACATACCGCAGAAACTTCCCGCTCGGATGCCGCAAGCACCGTCGCGCAAGCTCATCGTACTTTGCCTGCATAACCGGCGCCTGAGCGAGCAACGCCTGCACGTCCTCCGGGTCGCTAAAGTTGCCCGTCATCTCGATCCCGGTGAGCTCGATGGTGCCGTTCCAGAACGTGTTGTATTCGTCGGGGCTGTCGAAGCAGAAGATCTCCCCGGGGCTGCGCGGGGGCCCGTGGTGAGTAGGCGTGAGAGGAGACTGCTGCGGGCCCGGGCTTACGTGGTGAGCGATCCGACCCCGCGCGGATCCCAGCTGACGATGTCGTAGAGCCCGCCCGATAGGCTGCTGAGGAGATCGGCCAGTGTGTTGAGAGTATCCAGACCTGAGCCCCCAGGACCACCTACATTGCAAGGTTAGCCCACGTTGCGCTGACGGTAGCCTTGCATGCGAACATACCCGGGTTGAGAAATACGGTGCCGAGGCGGTCACCGGTCGCATTGAGTTTGGCGAGTGCAAGTCTGCCGTGGCCGACGGAGGGGTCGTGGTAGTCTAACGGTATGTCGAAGAAGCTGCACGTTAACGCAGGGTTGGTGATCACGGAAGGATCGCAAGGACCCCATTCGATACTCGACGAAGTTCCGGCGAGCACAACGCTGATAAGCTGAGATGCAACGAGAAGGGTTAACAGGAAGACCATGATGCGGATGGACGATAGCGTAGTGAGACCAATGTGGTACTATATATATTGCCACCATAAGAGGCGCCTTTTCTCCACCATTGTCAGAGCGCTGCAAGATGTGGACGGATGCTTACCTTTGCTATCGGAGCGAAGCATGCGGTCACGACTGGGCTGTACTGCTGACGTGCCGAGGCTGCGAGACTGTCGCCGAAGAAGACAGAACTGACATAAAGGCCGAACCCGCAGCATGGACTTGGGCGGTGTGCGCCGCAGCGGGCATGCTAGATGACGGAATTTACTGCTTAGCCGGACAAAACTGACGCCCTCTTGCGTGTGCCAGCGATGTTCACGCTGCAGTCTTTAAGATCTGCACTGTAAGAGACAATACAGATCAGTAAACATTGGAGTAACCCAGATATCGATGTAGGAAACGCGCCAGTGTCTTCCCTGGGCTCGTCCTCTCTCGTAAGCTAGCATAGGCAATAGCGAAGGAAAAGGATGAAGCTGTAACGAGCGTAGATCTGTGGACTCAAAGCATGTAGTTGCGGTCGGTTATGATGGTTGGTTGAGACCGTTGAGTGAGAAACATCCCCGGCGGGGTCGCTTTTTCATAGACGCTCGATTCGGAGTCTGCCGTCGGACCGAGAGGCGTTTGAGTGACCGAATTGATGGCATGTTCCTCCTCCTCGCATGCTCTCCTCCCTTTACTCTCATATCGTCTTTGTGCATACGTATACCCTACCTTGTCAGTGGCTGGATTACCCTGCTTACCTCTGAGCTGCTCAAGAACCAGCAACACCGTTTGACTCACTCAACCGGGGAGCGGCCCCCGCGCGTGCACGTTTTATCGCCCGTCCACCTGCCCGCCCGGATGTTGGACGTCGGACGTTGGCCCTCCACGCGACTCCGGCCACGTCGGACGTTGGCCCTCCACGCGACTCCGGCCACGTCGCCAGAATGTATCCGAACATCTCATCCCCCTCTTCGCCCTGTAACTTCGCTAAGACTGACAGACATCCGTTAGAAAGCTTTGCACGTGCGACACACGTTCTTCATTTCGGCGGGAGAGAAAGAACACGCGTCAGCGCTTGGCAGGTTTAAATAAGTGCAATGTTTGTACCTGCTCTGTCTCCCGCTTATGTTCAATAACCCTCACGCCATACTACCTTAACTTGTGTTCGTTTCGTCGAATTACGCGACCATTCCTCAAACAGCAGCATCCGCCGTGGCGCGTGCGTCGGACTTCGTACGGCGGTGCGTGGCCGCCGCCAAGCTGAGCTTGATCGCAACCTATGAACACGCATGAAGAGCCTCTACGAAATCCCTACGCAGTCCCTCTGTGCGGCCGGAACGTCGCGTTCAGCATCAATCAAACTCGAGGCTCTTCAGGAGCACCATAAACTGCGCTTTGGTCCTTGGGAGGACGCACAATCATCTTCCTGACAGGTCACGATCGGCTTTCAGGTCAATTGACTGCGATTGCGCAGCCCCACACACATGCACCCTCATGACACACCCTAGTGCTGGCTGCGTAGAGACCTGTACGAGTCACTGCGCGGCATCAATCACTCTGCTCCAGCATACGCCACCATATGTGTCCACATTCGGTGACATACTCCGCAGCTCCGTGTCCCGTCCTCCTAGGCCTGCAACTGTGTGCAGCCACAGGAGAGAATGTAGTACTTATACTGAGCTCATTTGTGGTACCCAGAAAGCATCACCTCCCCAGATCCCAGTCTCACACGATGCGCCTCTTGACAGTTACAATACTTGTTGCCGCGTTTTCCGCCAACGCAGTAGTTCTCAGAAATGAAGATGCTCGTAGTCTCAAGGTAATGTGCTCCATCTATATGGGTATCTCACCCATCTGACATAAGGTTTAGGGAAGCAATCATACCGCGTTCGAATGGGGAGCTTGCGACCCGACCTTGGTGCAAGACCTCAATGTCTCGTGCAGCTTCTTCGAGATACCTCTGGATTACCACAACTCCGAAGCGGGAACGGGGAGACTCGCCGTTGCCAAAGTGAACGCCACGGGCGAACGACTCGGGACCGTTTTCTTCAACCCAGGTATGTCCGACGAAGGAGCTATCTTACAACGCCGCCCATGTACATTTTTTCCCCAGGTGGACCCGGAGCCTCCGGGCTAGCAGCCATGAACGAGGCGAGCACGCTGCTTCTGGCCCTCACTGGCGGGAACTACGACATTGTCAGCTGGGACACGCGCGGCGTCGGCACGCTCACCATGTCCGTACCAGCCATATCTTCGTCATTCCAGATACTGCTGACCAATGTGCCCACTCTGCAGTCCCGGAGACATCGTTTGCTTTGACAACGTCACAGACTACAACACGTTCTGGAATGGCACGATCGAGCTCGATGGCATCGAGTACACCGGTAACTTCACCGACCCGGCAGACACGAAAGCACTGCTTGCTCAGGCGACGGTCATGGGACGCAAGTATGCGGAGCTTGGGAAGCGCTGCCAGCAGCACCCCACTGGCAAGTACATGAAGTACATCGGAACGGCCGCGACGGTGCGCGACATGATCGCGCTCGCGGACGCGCTCGATGGCCCTGGGAGCCCGGTGAACTACGCAGGTATTTCGTACGGTACTCTGTTGGGCGCGTGGTTCGTGAACAGTGAGTGACGCGATTACCTTGCGGCTGTCTGATGACTCACGTGTCGCTATGATCCAGTGTTCCCCAAGGTATGTGTAGGGTACAGAGTCACGTAGTTCTCGCGAGGCTGACGGCGTCTGCGCATCCAGCGGGTAGGCCGAGTTCTTCTCGACGGTGTCCTCAACCCGCAACTCGTCGCGACACAAGAGTCGCACAAGGTCCGTCTCTTTTGCGCACCTCACACTGTCACGCTGATTGTTCTCTTGCTGTAGATCTGGCCCCAGCAGCTCTCGGATACTGACAAAGCATACGAGGCGTTCGTTGCCGGATGCGCGCTCGCCGGGCCGTCAGGCTGCGCAATCGCCACCGCGAACGCATCCGCTGCGGACGTTGACGCGACCATCAAGACGCTCCTTCAGCAGGCGCACGATGCTACGCGCAAGAACGCGTCCGTTCCGGTGACGTCCGCGGACATCCGCAGTAAGCACACGAACTGGTTTCATGAACTGTCCTTGTGCTGATTCGTGCGTATCATAGGCGCACTGCTGTCGGCAATGTACTTCCCGGCTACCTGGGCGGACCTCGCGAACACGACCTTCCCTGAGATCGTTGCGGCCGTCCAGGGCGAGTCGCTGGCTCGCAGGGCCCTTGGTGGAGTGGCACAACGAATGTATGTGTTTTAGTCTCGCCTTCAGACGTCTGCTGAGCGCGCTCCGGCGTCCGCAAAGTGTTCGGAGGCACCAATCGGACGAAGCGGAGACGTATGGCGGCATCGCGGTCGCGTGCAGCGACAGCATCGATCCGCGGGGCACGTCGATGAAGGATGTGTTCAAGAACACGATTGCCGCAACCCAAAGCGTCAATGGCTCTCATCTTTGTACGTCCTCCATCCTGCGACGCGACTCGTCGTACGCTCAGTAACTGATGGGGCGTGGCGCAGTCACGCCCGTCTGGCCCATCTCTTGGAACTACTGCCCGTTCTGGCCCGTGCGCGCCGTGGAAAGGTACACGGGCCCGTTCAACAAGAAGCTCGCGAACAAGGTTCTGATCGCCAACAACCGCGTAAGTTTGCTCTGTCCGTTCCCCTGTCCCCCTTTCGGCCTCGCTGACGAACGCACCCAGTTGGACGCGGCCACGCCTCTGAAGGGCGCCCAGGCGCTATCTAAGATTATGGGGGACAACGCGGCCCTCGTCGTCCAGGAAGGAATTGGGGTGAGCAGAGCTGTGATGCCCACGCGACTAGATTACTAAACGTTCTACAGCACACCACGCTTTACTCGCCCTCCCAGTGCATGAACGAGATTCTATTCACGTACATGACCACTGGCGCGGTACGTCTTCAATCTAACATTGCCCGAATTCTTGCTGATACGTGCGTCGGCGGTGTAGGTCCCGGACAGCAACGACACGACGTGCGAGGTCGATACGGACTTTGAATTGTTCGATGGGGTGAACACTGAGGCGATCATGGCCGCGCTCGCCACATAGAGCGCATTTACTTGTCTGTCTTTACTGCTACACTGACCTACCCCAATGAATGGCGAACATGCGCGCCCGGAGCCATGGTGCCCTATCATTTGTTTGAACGCTACTTGGCCCATGAGTGGAGGCCCTGCGGGCTGTCGCGCTGCTGGATGAGTACTGCAGTAATAATCGTCAGATGCATCTATTCCTGCCAGTTCCGAGCGTACATTGTTGACACCAACAAGGGCCGTTCATCCTCTGCCGTGGCAACGAACAACGCGATTCGCGGACCTCGGTATTCAACACGTTGGAAGACGTCGTATCATTGCAGCATAGTGGGACCCGCTCACTTCAAGATCGCCGCCGAGATAACTGCGCTTCCTCCGATTACCTCTATTTGATCTTCCTCACGCCTTTCCTCGTTCTCTCAGAAATAGCGACGTGTAACCATGCCTTGCCGGAGCAGTCCGTCGTACCCCTCGTCAAACATTTCAACTTTCTTCTTGCATATGGGTCTCAGGCTGCGCCGCAAACCCGGCGATGTGAGAGCCGTTGACAAACTTTATAGCGAGTCGCGATCTGCCTAGACGACACGATAGATATCTACTTGATATCGAAAGCACTACTATACCGTAATCATTTTACCAGAACAGTACATCCGAAGACTCTCAAAGTGGGTAGCAGAGGCGGGATGTCGCCAGAGTCCGGGTCAGCGGCGTAGTGGGGCCATAGTGCAGATCATTGCTCTCCCGCGACGCATGGGCGCAACTTTGGAGAACTTTGGGTTGGTGTGCGTGAGGCCGCGAGAACTAGCCTGCTTCTGGAAGGCACGTATCTCCACTTTGGGGACATTGGGGTAAGTCTACGCTCGGGCCGGAGCCGCGTTTTGCCAGATTGTTCTCTAAATGGCGATCTGCCTTTCTCGACGTAATCAATAAGGCACATCTCCGCAGTAACACAACCCACAACATGTTGAACACCGCGGCTATATCCTCCATCTGGACATCAAAGGTGCAACTCAGACATCGAGAATTGCGACTCTACACATAAGAAGTACTCACCCAACGGTGTCTCGAGCGCTTGGAAGAAGTGCGGGCATGGTGGGCAGAAAATCCTGTCGCGGCCGCGGTGTGGCCTCGGTGTCCGCCGCCCCACCACGACGACGACCGAAGGCATCGAGCACCAAAAGCCACTTGTCAGTACTCAATCCACTCCCGGTATACTTAAAGAGACAGTGTGGATCTACGAGCCTGCGAGGCCTCCATCGCCTCCCCCGGTCTTGCCCTGGAAATCGAAAGCCGACAGCCATAACGAACAAGCATTTGTAGCCTTCGCCAACGGCGTGGCGGATCAACAGTATGTTATAGGTGAGCATATTTACCGCCTCCGATAGTACTATGTCCGTTGCGGGGTCATGTTGCGCAGCGCTCCGCGCTTCGTCTGAGGGGGGCGCTGGGGAACATTCCAACACGGCGATCACTATTGAAGCCAGAAATCAACATCCGCATCACTTACCCCTCTCTCACCTCTCTCCGAACGTTACTTATATGGCATCCAGTCGTAAGGTTTCCCAGTGTAGTCCGGTAACAAATGCCGTCACTGGCTTGCCGACCGTCTGTTAGGCATGCCCTTACCAATCAAGGGGTGCTTGGAAGGAAATACTTCCCTTATTTGCCCATGCTCGCAGGCACGCTCGTCAGACGCGAGCAAGTGTGCCGCATTCTTTTACCACGCCCCGACGTGAGGGCGAGTGGTCATCGGCAGGGAACGGGGTGCCGTCCCGAGCCCCTCTGCAGCCGCAATCATGATCAAGCCTCGTCCGCAAATTGATAGCGGCCCTTGGTGGTACACCTCCCCGTGCGGGGCACGGCGCCGGGCGCTGACTGCAGGGATATCGCCCCTGTAGTGTGGGGTGGCGGGGTGGGGTCCGAGGGACGTGAGAGGCGACGGATGTGGGGATGCTCGTGCTTCAGCAGCACGGACTTGGAGGGGCTCAGTGAGCCCCAGACTCGCCTCGATTCGGTGGCCCATCCTCTCGGCGTGTTTCCTAGCTCCCACAGGCTGCGGGATATCGGTGTGTTGGGGTAGACCAATTTTGAGTGGCCTGTGCGCGGCGGGTGGGCACGGAGTGCGGGTCTGCTGTCCAGCAGCCAAGGGACGCTCGCTGATATGTATTCGCAGTATCCCAGCGGCATGTCCTCGTCCGTGGAGCCACTCCTGTATATCCCAGCGAGAAAACCGATCGCGCTTCTGTGGACGGCGGGCGCAGGCCCCGGATAACGGGATAGTGCACGAGGGGGGCGAGACATGAATGTGCTCGAGTGGAAGTGGTGGTCAAGAAAAGACAGTGACAAGGCGCCTCGCGCTCTGCGCCCGGTCGCTGATTGCGGCGGAACTGCTTCCCAGCTTCCCACAGCCTATTCGCGCTCGCGCGCAAGGTTCATTAAAGCTAAGAGTGGTGGTGCCCGCCCAATCCTGACTCAGAACCCCCATTCTGCGCCCCCGTACGCCTGCTTTCCTCTGCTCCTCATGTCGTGGGGCAGCCTCGAGATATCCAGAAACGCTGGTCAACGCAGGTTCTGCAACGAGAACTCCATTTCTCATTTCCGCGATCCAGCTCTTGCCTCCCGCCCTCGTCGCCGACCGTGCCTAGCTGGGCCGACACGTCTACGCGCCAGCCTGGCACGCAACCGTCCCAGTGGATATCTGCCTACCGTCAAAGCCAAGCTAAGTATGCAGAGTTAGGAGTACTGAAAGACCTTCTCTTCTGCCTGTCTGCCCTCTGCACGGAATCTGCATGCAAACAGATATCTCAACGGTCGGCGCTCTTGTTCTGGACAAGAAGGCCCACTTGCACTCTCCGAAGGCCGACTAGCATCTCGTGCCCCTCATGAAGGTCGACGCCTGGCTATCCAGACACTTGTGACCACAGGCGAGATATCGAGCTGCGCAACTCTGCACACGCTGACGAGTAGTCATGCGTGCATATATCCCCCTGGCTATCCTGCCACGATTAGTGCACCCCTTACTGTTATAAACCAGCAAATCTGCTTTTCTCGACACCTAGACATCGAACAACCCCATATCTCCCCACACAACATCGCACTCCTCGACTGCACAAACCTCTCCGCATACAACATGAGCTACGACTATGGGGTGCGTTATCCTACATCTCTGCATTGGATAATACGAGTCTTGTTTCTGACTTGCGGTTCTTCCTGATAGACATACCCCATCGTCTTTTCCATCGACAATGGTACTGCTTCGACCTTCGGGTCCATCGCATATGGCTGCCCTGGCGACGCCTCACTGGAGATAGCAGGGTCACAAGGACCGGGCTGGGACTCTTCCGCTGGCGGTTCTTTTAGTAGCACGTTCGACGGCTACACGAGCGACGAGGTAAGTTGGAATTCAGCCACACCTCCCAGCCTCTGTTCCAACTCATTATCAATGCAGTTTCTGTACTCAAACCTACCACCTGACAACGGGCTGTGGATTGATCAAGTAACTACCCACGAGCCGTCGCAGGTAACATTCGACGCTGGAAACCTATGGCGTCCTTGTCTGACCCGTTATATTCAGATGGAGGATATTGACAACCCGGAGCTGCATCTTGAGGATGTCATGGATGTAGCTGGAGAGAATGGCATGGGCTCTTTCGGGGTACGTGAATATTTAGCTTTCCTGAGGGTTGCGTACTTAACCTACGCGCGAAGGCCTTACCCACGTGCCATGCGCATGCTCGCGCAGTCTCGTCGGACACCTCCTACCCCGTCCCGCTACCCCCCTCATCCTATCAACCATCCGTTCAGGTGCCATCATCCGTCATTTTACCGGCATTCTCTCCTCCGTCTCGGCAATGCGACAGTCATAGGCACCCGTACGCCGCGAAAGGCCGTCTTCCACGGCCGGCCCCATTCTTGCGTCAATATGCGCCGACGCCACTTATGCCTGTCTCGTCGTTTGACAAGATCAACACCAGCCAGTGGTCGATCCCTCAGCACATCTACCGTGGCAATCAGGGTGATCATCGCCAACCGGATAAGCGATTCGCAGCCATAGACGTCAATGTGTCTGCCAAGGTCGCGTTGATCCCCGAGGCTCTCGCGGTGTCTCTACTAAATCCGCTGGAGCCCGCCTTCGTGGAGGCAGACAGGAAAAGCAAGAAGTGGACGTATCGATACCAAGTGAGCTACTTTTATTTCGTATAAGGCGCCAAAGGAACTCATTCGATCGCAGTTCATCGGGAGCTCGAACTTGCAAAATGCTGCCCCGCAGATGCACGAATATGCTTCTGGAGATCAAAGATCGAAAGCCGTTGCCGCCGCCATGCGCCTTCCCGGCAATGCTTCTCAGCCGTCTACCTCTTTCGCAACACCACTGAAGCGTGCTGCGGTTGTTGAGAAGGTCGCACATGGATTGGCGGTATACATGGTGAGCCGGATTCTTTCCGCTCCTATACCCGGCCTTCATCCGAGCCAAATTGCCTTTCAGGAAAAGCTCAAAGACGAAGGATCTCCTTTAAGGTTCAACGGCCACGAGGTCGACTTCGACCACCTGCAGATCCTGAAAATCTTCCGGCCCACGCCCGCCTCCATGCAACCTATACTCGAGATCTGCGAAGAGTTCCGCGGCTTCTATGCGCGCACTTCCACCTAGAGCACACCGGAGGAGCATCCTGCCCTGCGCTCCTCCGTCCTGCTCATACCACGTTCCACATTTTTTGCCATGTGTTCTTTCTTTTTCCGTCCCACTGCCATATTGTACACCTTGCACAACACTCGCCGTTCATTTTTGCCTCTATCATAATCACTCTTCTATGTAAACAAATGGTTTGAACTGCACTAGAATCGTGATGTACTCGCCTAACAACTATCCGCACGTACTTAACCCGATTCACCTAACAATCATGACCCTTTGACATTACCTCCCGCCGCCGCATACCGACAACATAGCGATTTTCAGACCCACGCACGCCACTCCCACACCGCCATGGCTTTCTGTGGACGATGTGAACGTTCGTTTGGCAGTGAACGCGTCCTAGAGCAGCATAAGGACGACTACTATTTTGTTTGACGATTTGGATAACCTGTACGAACATTGCAATGATAAGCACTGGGACATCTGTCATCGGCTACATGTACCCACTCCTCTGTAGACCTCTTCGACTCGAGCCGCGGCCTTCACAAACGTCGTTGCGAGGAATACGAATGGCTACCCGTGCCTGCCCTGCAACAGAATATCCAAGAACGCGAACAGCCTTTATCAACACTGTCGCTCATCCATCCACCAGAGCCGGGACATCAACTGCCCATTGCGCGGCTGCAACAAGTCCTTCGTCTCTAATGCGGGCCTTCTCCACCTCAAGTCCGACGTGTTCGTCTAGCGTATGACGCGCACCAAGATAGACCGCGAACACATCATGACGAACCCCTCGCACCTCATCTGGAGTTCTGGCCCTATTGTCATCGACTAGTGGGCGACCGAGCGCGTGTGGAACGGCTCGTGATACGAGTACTACCTGTGCCACCGCACGAACGCGATGCTCCCCCCGCTCAACCAGCACCTCCACAACGCCGCACATGCGGACAAGATCTATTGCCGCTCGTGTGTGCTGTACGTGTGTGACGCGGAGCTTGGCATGCCGAGCGTGTTCTGCGAGCACGTCGAGAGCGGCGAGCTTTGGAAATTCCGCGACCGAGTAGATAGGAATGATATAATAGTATGAAGAGGCTCACAATGGGTTAGGAGTTTCGCCCGGTAACATGATTGTTGATCTATGCGGCATTATGGGTCGTCGGTGGGAACACATTCATCACGGTTCAGGACACCCGGACAGCAGGGCAGCAGGGTTCGCGATAGACGCATCCGGGGGATCAGGTTCTATATGCATTTCATTTCATTCGCCGAGTGGGTACACCCAGCCCGCATTCTTACTACGCCTGCGAAGATTGCGAGGTATTAAGTGTACGCAGGGTACTTCGATGTCCTGTTCGTGAGCAGGTGTCAGATCAGACGCCAACGCACACTGCACGCAGTATCGCACACGCCCGAGCGATGTACATATGCAGCACAGCATAACAGCAGATATGGAAGAGAACTCACTCGCTTCGTCTTCTCCCTCGCCGATCACGCATCCATTTTTGTCTCTAAGGACCTGCCTCCCCGCGCTAGTTGCCGCCGCGATTCTCGGGGCTCCTGGGCCACCATATCTTTGACGGGCAATGCCACAACATCCCCTCCGCAGCCAAAAGCCGCTCGCCCTCCGCTTCGCTGACCCTCGTAACCGAATCCGAACCAGCCGCCCCCCGTGTGACGCGCCAATATATGCGACGGCTCATCACCACGAAGTACAGCTGCGTCACGGACACCGTTGCCGCAGCGATCTGTACGGCGAGTGTTGTCAGAACCTCGTCACCAAAGCCGGCGGCCAAGACTTCGACGACGTCGTCCTCTCTGTCTTCGGGCGTGGAGTGCGCGTACTCGTCCTCGTACTCGCGGGCGACGACGTGCAGCCGGAACGTGAAGCAGCGGACGTGCGGGAGGTTCATCAGCAACTGCGCGACCGCGTCCTGGTCAATACAGGAGGAGTAGTCAGCGCCGTTTGTGCCGCAGGAAGAGACGGTACATACTGTGTATTGAACGGGATCTTCGGTGAGGTTCTTGAGTCCAACATCGAGTCCGAAGTGGGTGATCTCGCTGATAGCCTGCTCTCCTACGCCGGCGAAGAGTTGTCCAAGCCGGTCCGGCGAAAATTCAGCGGAGAGCTCCCTGAAGGCGTCCCAGTATCCCCACTGGACGACGACGCGGCGCGGCTGTACATCCGCCAGGACCGTGCATAGATGCTCGATGTCGATGTCCTCGAATTCCCACAGAGCGACGTCCAGCCTGCCGACGCGGGATTTGAAGCCGAGCGTGAACAGGCTGTCAACGTCGGCGTAGACGAAGTCCAGCGGCGCCCACTGCTTGGGGTAAGCAAGGTTCATTGCGCGGATCTCGTCCATATCCATGGATGGGTCTTCCTGGGCGTTGCTAGCCTCCATCCAGAACAACTCGAGCTTGTTGACGTTCGGAAATGCGTTCATGATCACTTCGCGCTCGATGACGTGACACCTCTTGAGCGCCAGAGTGTGGACCTGCGAGAACACGTCGTCGTCCGTCTGCGATCGCTGTTTGGGCAACCGTGCCGTCATATTTGCGACGTGGATGATAACCTCCTGGAGGGTACCCTGATGACGGCGGAGCATTTGTACTGGGCTCAGCAGGTTCGTACTTTGCAAGTTGCGATCTTCAGTGGGCTGCTTGGCAACTTCATCTCCACAGTCGACATAGACCTTGCGCAAGTACGAGCGAAGACCGGCGACGACCTGATATGTGAGAAATCCAAAGCCGGTAACATGCAGCTCGCCAAGAGTAGTGAGCGCAGCGAAAGCATGGATAAGTCGTTTGTCGCACTCCAGAAGTGTTTCGCAGAACTCGATCGTGAGACGTTGAAGATCGGCGAGGCACCCTAGGACTGGGACGAGCAGAGACGCGCCTTGCAAATCTTGCATCGATTCGTAGGTGAACGAGTCGTCCACGGCCATCGCATCCTCCTCGTCATCCCAGTCGACAGATATTGTGAGCTCTTTTAGCTGAGTCGCAGGTTTGTGCATGTCGATGAAGTGCCGCTTCATTAACTGACAGAAGGACACAAGCTCCTTGTTAGTATATATGTAGACGCCCATCTTGAGGAGGTGGTCGACGCCTATGGGGTAGAACGATCGAGAGGAGCGCATAAAGGCAGACACGTCTGATCTCCTGTCAAGTTCTCTGAGGACCAAGTAGCAGATGTCATCGGCGATGACCTGCAAAGCCATCACAACAAGTCTTGCCTTCAAATCCAGTCAGCGACGCAATAGATGCGCTAAAGGAGACTGCTCACCGCGCGCCTTCGCGTTTATCACCGGGATGCCTGCGTTGAAGAAACTCCTAGCTCAGATACAGCACCTGGGGAGTGTTGCGACGCGAGCCGTCGCAGTAGTGTATCATCGAGCCCAGAGATTTAATGGCAGACACATTGACTCGCGCCCAATCGCGCCACACAATAAGCCCCTGCATTGCTCAGTTCCAGTTATGGTACACAATAGGACTGGGTTCGTGGCGACAAGTGCTAGGAGACTGAGATGTATCCTCGATACGAGCGAGAGACTCAGACAAGAGGAGAAGCGCTGCCAGTTCCTTCCGAATCGCTGGAGAGGAAGAGAGGAAGAGAGTAAGGTGAGCGCGAGAGTGCGGTGGATGAAGGATATGTCTCGACGAGTCGGATCGTGCCGGAAGGAATGACTTAGCAGTGCTGACTCAGCGGATGTGAGGCGCTTCCATCGTTGCGCAGGCGCTTGCAACCCATCCACTACCTTCGCTGAGCTACCACCTTGACGTTTGTGCATACACCGCGCATACCCCAGTCTAATTGGCGAATTGAAAATACTTTGCGCGACCATGCCGGTCTTTGTGGATTCTGATAGCATACGAAGACGATTTACGAACAGATTCCCGCTCCTCAAGAAGGCACACCATGCAAATATTGCGCGCAAGAACGCGTCTTGACGTCCGTAGAAAAAAACATAGCAAGCACATGAGCTGGTACGCCAGAGCTATTTGGTGCTGACACATGCAGGACGTCCTGTCTCGTAGAGCTACCGCGTCTCTCAGTCTAGCACGCCGCAGGCAAGGCTCTAGTCGCGTCGCCAACAACCATGTGAGTGCTCAATCCAGCAGCGGCCTTCGACGTCGCTGACGAATGCATCCATTTGCACACAGGTACCCCCCGCTGGGCCCCCAGCCCACCGCGCTTCGCTCAACCCCTTACAGCGTGAATGAGATCTTGGACACGTACACGACGATGAGTGCGCTACACCCTCTCGCCTGTCGTTCATCGAATATCTTACTCGTGCATGCCAGTGTGTTCGCGATGCAGGTCCTAACCTACGCAGACATGCCCTAGCCCATTGTAACAATGAGACGTGCAAGGTTTTATTTAGATTTTGGACCGTTTGATAGTGGCCATCCTACCAGGCCACGCTTGGCGCATAAACGACGTGAACTTTCGTCACATCTAGAATATGAAGCCACAACCGAGCAACGGTGGGCGGACCATGGGGCAAGCAGCCGTGAACATGCACAACAAAGGTCAGTATCCTCCATATTTATCGTTACATGACAGCGCATTCTGAGGAAGACGTAACCCAGTACAGGTCTCTGCACCCAGAACCCTATCCATATACCTACCGCCAGTTTTTTAAATAGGTAGTCGCTGCACAACATGCCCTCTGCGGCGATCAGAAGCTATCAAATATCATTTCTCACTGCACTACGGGAATGGGGCGGCGTTCTCGAGAATAACTAGGTCTCCCTTGGCGACGGATCTTTGTCACAGCACTCGCTCTCCTCGGCACCGTGGGCGTACCCGAGGTCGGCGAGAGCGTCAAGAGCCATCGCATATTCCACCAACAACCCGACGCTGTAGCGAATACTCTCTGCATGTTACGCAGCTTATTGGGGCCTCGTTCATAGCGGAAGGGTGATCTCTACCAAGTGAGTACCATCCGTCTTGCGTAGGACTCGCTCTAAAGATGTTTATTACCGGGTTCCGTCGAATGAGACCATATGACCTCACTTCTTGAGGGCTGTGCTCAGAAGCTCGTAATGCAGCAGAACACATCAGGGGCCCATGGCTAGGTCTTGCGGCTTGTACCTACCGTCCTCGCTACACTCATCGGCATACACACGGCGTCCGACACACATTGGAGCTCCTCGCGGCGGGATGCAGCCGTCGACTAAGGAGCCGCGGTACTAGAGGTGCCTGAAAGGTCGTAAGCTTCGCTAAGACGACTGGGGAACGGATATATAAGAGGTCTTCCAAGAGCACCGGAACATATCGCCAGTTCCATTCATTCTCCCCGTGCACTCCGTTCCACGCTCTCTACCACCCATTTCGTCGCCTCACTTGCACCCGAAGCAAAGATGATGCAGAAGTTCTCCTTTGTTCTCGCTGCCCTTGCTGTCGCTCAGAGTGCGTCGTCTCTCTCACCTTTTCGTCCAGTCCGCTGATTACTATTTACCTGCAGTCGGCGCTGTTCCTGCCGCGGTGAAGCCGACCACGGCGACCGGTGGAAGTGACGTCTCATCCTCCTTCACGTTCGTCAGCCCGGTTGTCCCCACGACGATCACATTCGAGGAGCTGGCTTCGACCACCTTGAACGGCTGCGCAGTCACGACATCTACGACGTTCGTTCCCGGCCCCGTCACCACGATTAGCGTGAATCAGCCGGAGACCAAGACCTTGTACGGCCGCGCTGTCACGACGTCGACAACCTTCGTTCCCGGTCCCGTCACTACCATCACGGTGAACGAACCGGAGTCGAAGACCCTCAACGGCCGCGAGGTGTCGACGTCCACGATGTTCATCGGTTCGGTGTCCACCTCGACGACGTTCGTTGGCTCGGTCTCTTCATCCACGACTTCCATCGGCTCGGTGTCCACTTCGACCACCTTTGTCCCGGACAGCACCACTACGTTCTTCGAGGACGAGCCGCTTTCGATGACTCTCAATGGCCGCGAGGTCACGACGTCGACGACCTTCGTCCCGGGGCCCGTCACCACGATCACCGCTGAGCCGGCTACTAAGACGCTCAACGGCCGTGAGGTGACGACCTCTACGATTTTCATCGACTCGGTGTCCACGTCAACGACCTTCGTCCCAGGCCCGGTGACCACCATCACCTTCTCGGCTTGAGCACTGCATTTCCCTCCGTCCATACCCCTCGCGATCACTATGACCATGAGCACAAGAAATTCACGGTGAGTACGACTCCTTCCCGTTTTCGGTGGGAAATGCTGAGTTTACCTCTCCAGGTAGTACATGATACGGCTTTCGTTGGCGTACTGACTCAGGCCCGTCGGCGGCCGGGAGGGACCGGACGGCGGGGTTCGGACTTACGGAATTTAAGAACCTTTTGTTGCTTGACATCTTCTGTCTTACTTATGATTCTACTCAGTACATCTCCGTGCATCTTTGGTGGCTCGGTGGACTGAAGCTCGAAAGTGGCTGCGTGCCGCAGGGGCGGCGCAGGCTGGCGCCAATGCCGCGCGTTGCGGAACTCCGGCCCGTACTCGCGGTGGAATCGTCGCGAACGGTCGCGACGAGTCCCCGCTCTCCATCCCCTACCGGCCATGTCGTCTCTCTCCATTCAACCGTGCTCTAGACTCAAAGACACCTCATACCTAGTCCTCGCTGACACCCAACCTTGCTGCTGCTGAGCATGAGCACCACTCGGGACGAACCAATCAAAGCTACGGAGGCTTCAAGTTCCGCAGGCACTACGCTCGCGCTCCCACCTCCTTCAGAAGGTGCAGAAAAGACCACCGTCACGGCGAACCAGGCGTTCAAATTCGACCATTTGGGACCTGTGATTGTCAATAGGGACGGGGTGAGTCGGAACTCATGTCGCTTGTCGATACCCAAATACTGACATCGCCCTTTGAAGACGCTTTCGCGCATCGCGAACTGGGAGAGTATGACGCCGATTGAGAAGGAGAGGACATTGAGAATACTGGTGGCACGAAACCAGTACGTCATGGTCGCGTCTATCTTGTACCCGGTCCCTTGTGTGCTCACGCTCTGTGCTGCCAGAGTACGCCTTGCCGAGCAGGAGAGCCAAGAAGGCACCGTGGCAGACGATGTCCAAGAACAGGCGAAACTTTCCATCTCACAAAGGCCTTGAAGGCCGAGCGACGGTCCGCGAAGTCAAATGTATCGCAATGTACCATATTCTCAAATATCGCTGTAGTTGTTTGCATCACCCCGTTCCCCGCAAAGCCCAGGTTTTACGACGCCACCGTTATGGCATCCGGAGTCCGGACCTTTTCAATTATACAAACGCTATCAAACGCAGTCAGATCCGAGGCCATGGCTTTGGGCTGTTGTATGCGTGAGTGCTTCCTGCTTCCTTGTTCCTCCTGCAGATCGTTAATAGTGGGTACCAGAATAGTTCACGCAGGAGGCACCTCTATCGTACACCGCTCGTGTTCATAGAAAGCGAACGGCGCGTCCCGCTCCCATCGGCATGTTACTTGCTTCCCCCGCTCATGCCAACCGGAGAAACCGCCTCCGTCTAGGCCATTTCTCTACCCCGCTCTGTCACCAGTCCCCAACGGACCGGGGGCTTGGCAAGGCGCCCCCTTGCGCTACACTCGCCTAGACAACACCTCGAACAGTCCAAAGGAGTCTTGCGCCCATGCACGATACTGCCTCCTGGGTTTATGCTCACGTCGGCCAGTGTCAACCACATCCCCGGTCCCGAGACGCCAAAGCTTTGGATCACTCTGAACCTTCTCCCCCTGAGATTCGCCCGCACACGATCTCATTGACTGAAGAGCCTGACGTGGTTCCTGTAAGCAGGACTCCAGAATAGGCCATAGCAACATGACGCGAACAAGACCTTGCGGGAGTTTGACGTGGGCAGGTACGTTTATGCCCCAGGTACACATCGCGCGTCTCACGCTCCGCCATTGCCACAGAGAGATCGGAGACGTCAGTGTACAGCCGCGCAATCGTCAATTTGTAGTGTCAGGCCCTTTCGATGCCTGACTCCCGACCGCATCGCCCACCATCTGCTGCGGGTATGTCGGCATCATTCTCCACTGCCTGCATCTGTGTTTACATTCCCTCTCCACGGCGTCCTGGACACCTTCAGTCGTCATTCACGACATTTCGATGTTCGAGGCCTGCAACGCACACACCGAACTCCACATAAAAGTTACGCCGGGCCGCGCGCTCCACGCACTCACACCGGTAGATGGCCCGGCGCTCGGCACACTCACGCACAGTTCCCACCACCGCCTCCCACCGGCCCTCCGGGATTTTCACGCCCTGTCAGGCAGCGCGGCCCCCAGGCATGTTCGCGCACCCACGCAGGGGTGCTCATGAGAACGCGAGGGAAGCGCGCGGCTCCGCATCCGCGCCAAGCGAGGCGCATATATGGCGGCGCGATGCCAACGTGCCTGCCCGCCCTCCGCCTTCTTCTCGACATCCGCATCTGCCAGCCCGAGCCAGCGCGACGTACCGTCAGGGTCGCCGTAGCTATCGCCCATACCAATCTCGCGGTCCGCGCCGAAGACCTTGCATCCCAGACTAGTGGACCATTGAATGTCTGAGCGCCCCCAGCTGTACGCACCCCGAACAGAACCCAGCTCGTCCAGCTCGACGCTCGTCAACCAAGGCGCATCCACCACCCCCACTCCGATGTCCACCAGCGAGACCCCCGGGGGTGCGCCGTCCGTGCACACCCCGTTCTCCCCCAACTTCGACCCGAACTCGCCCGGCCCGCACGCGCAGACCCCGCTCGCGTTCCGCCCGGGCGTGCAGACCCTCGTCGAGGGCGCGTACCCCGCACCCGACCAGGGCGCATACGCCGGCGCCGGCCAGACGGAGCCCGCGTGGTCGCAGCGCCTCTCCGTCTCGTTCAGCCAGATCGCGGAGCAGATCGCGGAGGCGTCGCGCGCGCTCGCGGTCGCCGGCGCGCCCGCGTCCTCGACCCCCGGCGCCGCAGGGGAGGTCGTTGGGGCGCTCGCCGCGCGGCTGGAGGCGATCGAGCGCAACCAGGAGCTGATGGGTGCGCAGCTGCAGGCGGTGCAGGACCGGCTCGCGCAGCTGTCCGTGAACGGGTCGGCGAGGCCGCGCGGGGAGAAGGGGCATGGCGACGTGGAGGAGGTCTCGGAGCATGATGGCGAGTTCAAGACCGCCTCGGAGATAGCGATCGAGGAACTGCAGAAGCAGGTGCAGGGCGTCGTGGAGACGATCCGTCTCGAGTGCGTACATGCTGTCTGTTTGTTTGTTTGCACCGCGTCCTTGGGCTGACGAGCTGCGGGTGCAATAGCCAAGCACGCTTGTACGCGCGGCTGCACAACGCGGCGGTGACTGCGAATAAGCACTTGATCAAGGCACCCGTCCTGGCTAACGGCAAGCCGCCGCCGAACTTCCCGAACACGAAGGGCGAGTTTGAGCACATCACCAGTATGTCTCCTTGTCCTCTCGCGTGTGTATGGGTGCTGACAAGAGCCGCAGAGGAGCGCTATGAGGCGCTGCTGAAGGGGTACAACCTGCCCGTCACCGGCGACACGAACGCGAAGCGAGAGGCGCTGCGCGAGTTTATCGGGCTCACCCCTCCCATATGAGCGGCGCCCTCGCGCGTTCCGGCGAAACATTGCAAGTCCTGTCCAGGTCTACCCATGCTCGGGCCTGCGGGATGATCACCTGATCATCACAGGTTACTGAGCTTGTTAGCTTGGCACACCGTGTGGGTATGGCAAGCTAACAAGCCCCGCTCTGCCTACCGCCCTACACTGCCAGTAGCACTACGGAATATCTACACATAAATACCTACAAGGCATGTTGCGTACAGATCGAATAGATGAGATAGATCAAGAGAGATAACCCGCCCGACTTACTTACTGAGATAAGATATCTCGCGCGCCGGCGTTGAGTATCTCATCAACGCCCGCCCGCCCATCACCGCCCGCCCATCATTGCCGGCGTCGGCACCCCCCTCCCCCTCCCCCCCTCCCACGGTGGCGGGGGGTGTCCCGTCGCCATCACAGACGACGCCAAAGCCCGGGCGCCGGCGGTCCGCGCGAGCGCTCCCCGCCCCGACACATCCCAAATCCGGTAAGGGGCTCTCCTGGGACCAGGATGGCCTCCCCCGGCGGGCCATAGCTCCCCTCCCCGCCCGCCGATTCACGCCGTTATTTTTGTAATATGTGCGCACTACATAGGGGTATATAATAAGCTTTGTCCGATGAGATTTGGTTCAGTAGCCGTTTATACAGATGACGATTACTGTGAAAGGTACCTTCCAGGACAGTATCTCAGCTACAGGGTAGTGTATATGCGTGTAGACTGTCACAAAAACATGCCCCTACGTAGTTGTAGTATATGGCTACTGTAGAAGCCTTTTTGCGCGCGATTTGGACCAGCGGACGCGATGGGACACCATGTCCTCCCGGTGGTGGACATGCCTGTGCTCCTGACTCCTTCCCGGTCGTACTCTCCTGGCGCGCTCTGATCGGACT